GAAAACCTGTCACAAAAAAAAAAAAAAAAAAAAAAAAAGTATGGCATAGACTTTGCAACAAGCCATTACTTATCTCTGTGAGAACAAAGATGAATTATATTACCAGGATTAAATGCAGAGAGCAAAAAATACATTAAATAATTTTCAATTATTTAAGTATGCTTTTACATAGTTAAAATAGTACAAAAAATAGTGGGGGGGAGAACACAAATTGCCCAATAAGAATTAAAAATATATGCTGTTATGTAATTTTAATTCTTACATATAACTGAAGAACTGATATCATTTTGCACAAAAATTCCATGAACTCTATAAGCATACTCTAGGGAAATTTATTACTACCAAGCTACAAAATGCTACCTTTTACACCCAAATGGATGACTTGTTCAAGTGCATAGTGACACCGTCTGCTTGTGGTCCTGCCAGAAGGAAAGCATAAAACAATGAACTGTAAGTTTAGCATTTACAAATATCTGATTATATATACATGTTACCACATGAATGTTACTTCCAAACTCAAAATTAAGATATAATTTTATTTATGTGTTGGTGACTACAACTGCCTCTGTGACGGCTTTGGGAAGTGTGACCTTTACGAGATGATCAGGTCATGAGGTCGAACCATTTCTGTGTGAACAACATTTGTTACAAAATGAATTCAAACTCATTGTCCTGCTTTCTCTGTGTCTATCACATGTTCCCTTCAGTGTGCTGTTGCCATGTTCTGGTCAATGAGAAGGCCTCCCCAGTGCTGTGGAGCCTTCAGAACTGTGAGACTAAATCTCTGGGTAAATTATCCAGTCTGTGATGTCTGCTATAGCAAGAGAAAACAGACTAGACAATGAACTTTCAGCAACCACACTAACACAAATTTTACTAAAATCTTGTAGATAAAGACCATGTGGAGGCCAAGCGTTACAGGGTCATAAAGACGTGTTCCTGCCCTTATGTGACAGGAGAGTGAAGGGGCAACAGCCAAGTAGGAGTTTATACCAAAGGTTAGCAGAGACAACTGAGGGTTCAGGACAGTAGGCGCCATCCTTCTAGAAAAGTAAGAAAGATATTGATATTCCTAAAATATTGATATTCCTATACCAATATAGAAAAACAGTTTTGCTGTTTTTTTTCATTTGAAATTAGAAAAAAAAAACAAAGAGGAAAAACACAGGAAATCAAAACCCATTTTCAATAAATCAGGATTACTAATACTCAAAAGCATAAATGAAGACACTATCTGTTCTACTAGGTAATCTGGCTCCAATCCCAGGGCAGAGCTGACTCATGCCTCCTTACAGACAAAGGACAGGTTCTTGAAGGCTCAGATGGTGGTGAGACTCAACATAGGGACCCGACCATTCCCAACTATTAGAGGGTGTAGGGTGGTTGCTAAAAGCCACTATCAGGATCCATTTCTGTGGTGCACAACTAAGAGTTGTATGTGTCTGTCTCTGAGTACAAGGACAACCCAGTCTAGAGAGCTAGTTCTAAGACAGTCAGGACTATGCAGAGAAACCCTATCTCAAAAAAAAAAAAAATCCCAACCAAACCAACAAAAAGGGGACAAACTTGCCAAAAAAATATGCAAAACTGGGCTGGAGAGATGGCTCAGTGGTTAAGAGCATTGCCTGCTCTTCCAAAAGTCCTGAGTTCAATTCCCAGCAACCACATGGTGGCTCACAACCATCTGTAATGAGATCTGGTGCCCTCTTCTGGCCTGCAGGCATATACACAGACAGAATACTGTATACATAATAAATAAATAAATATTTAAAAAAATATGCAAAACTACAAACTGAGAAGCACATATTGCTAAAAGGAAACTAAAGACTATGTGAATGAAGGACAGACTGACATTTTCAAGGACTAGATGACAATACCCTAACAGCATGTGATTGGTTAGGAGGGGCTAGATCCTCTGGGAAGGTCTAGCCCACTGTTCTGCTCCCTGTTTTGGCATCAGATGTAACTGAGGGTGCAGTGAAACTACCAAAATGGACTTTTCCATGGGCGGGAAGAGGTTTATTGTAAATACAAAACTGCTGGTTTTATGTTTATCTTTGGTGGTGAAGAGACAAGGGCCAGAGGCACTTGGGGGAGTCCATGGCTCTCTCTCAGGGACAGAGAGTAGCGGGAGGCTAATGTGGGGGCCTGCAGGTCGGAAGACAGAAGAGCTTAGAGGCTCTGATCTGCACCACAGTTTTATGACAATAAAGAACCACATTCCTCATTTGCCATTGGCAAGGGAGGTAAGGGGAACAGCTCTTCCTGGCAGGCAGAAATCACAGGCTTCAGAAGACCTCTGATTGCAGACTTTTTTCTCTCCACCCATAATCCTTCTGTTTTCCCTCTCAGCATCTAGCCTGAGCTGGCCCCAGATTGTCGCTTTGGGCCACAGTCAGTGCTGTTGCCTTTTGGGAAGTTTGGGACCTAATACACAGATCACTCACAAAGCACAAAGCTAACAAGCCATTTCTTCTTGCTTGCTCATAGAGACTTCAACTGATTCACTCAAGGATAGCCCATCTGGGAGGATGAAAAAATATTTTTACTAAACTTACTAAAACCTTACCTATTGTATGTAAACTCCACATCCATAGGTTCAAAGTTATACATTTGTTCAAATCCTGGATTAAGTTTAAGAGTTACATCTTCTTCATGAATCTAAAAAAACAAGCGAGTGATAAACAAGCGAGTGATTGAACTTCTACACACTAGACTGGACTTCCAGGGACAATCCTGCATCTATATCTGGGAATACACCATAAAAATATCATTTTATAGGTGTGAGCCAAAATTTGGTATCTTAAGTACCTGCAAAATTAACTGAAAGTGAGTAAATCATCCTTAAACTACACAAATGGGCAATGTCTCCATTCACATCAGCAACACTTAACCAGTCTCTCCCTGTGCCAAGTACACCTACAATATGGGGCCCAGGACTCAACGGAGATCAACCTGCTAACAACTCCAAGTCATCAGAGTGGTCCTGCAGAGTTAAAGCCTCCACAGAAGGGTCACTTGGGACTTTCCCTTTCTGGTAGTACAGGGGATAAATATAGCTGGATCCTGCATAAAATAAGACCTCAAACTTTCTCCTGAAAGGCAAGAAAGGAAACCTCGGGTATACTCGGGGGCAAAGGAACACAAACATCCTCAGGTGGAAGCAGGGCTGAGGCTGTGGCCCGACACTGTGCAAGGTGAGAAGCAGCAATGAGAACCCAGACCCTGAGACTGCAGGCAGGAGGTGACGCAATAAACAGGGGACAGCCAGTCAGAGTTCTTCCATTCTCAGACGGTGCTGCCACGGCCCTTTCCCTGGAAAGCCACCCAGCAGAGGCTTCTGAGTGACCCAGAGATTACAAAACATGAAAGGGAGTCTACAACTAAGGTCAGTAAGCATACTAAAACCAAACTACTAAGAGTGCGGGACCGTGATCCTCAGCAGCTTAGGATCCTGTAGACTGATCTTACCTTCTATCTGAAAAGCTGCAAATGAAAAAAGAAGATATAAAAGGAAGAAATGGGAAGAGATAAAAGGAAGCACAAGGCAACTTTAAACATTAGAACAGAGTATTGAAGACAGAGGAAGGAGGGGCCCTGCAAGTGGAGCAGCCCTAGCTCCTTCCACGCCAATCTGACACAGCCAGTCATCAGAGAAGAGGAGACCTCGACTAAGAGCATCTCAGGTTGGCCTGCAGGAAGGCTGTGGGTCATTTTCTTGATTAATGATCCACCCAGGAAGGCCCAATCCACTGAAGGTGGTGCCACCCCTGAGTAGGTTGCCTGGGTGATATGTCAGACTGAGCATCCCATGAGAAGTCAATAAGCAGCATTTCTCCATGGTTTCTGCTGCTTTGAAGTCATGCTTTGGCTTCCTCTGATGATAAACTGTAAGCTGTAAACCAAAAAACCATTTCTTTCTCTAGTTTTTGGTTGTGTGTGTGTGTTTAAAAGATTTATTATACACTGTTTGCCTACATACCAGAAGAGGGCTTCAGACCTCATTACAGATGGTTGTGAGTCACCATGTGGTTGCCAGGAATTGAACTCAGGACCTTTGAAAGAGCAGTCAATGCTCTTAACCTCTGAGCCATCTCTCCAGCCCTGGTTTTGATGTTTTATCACAACAAAAACCTAATTAAGACATCTAGCACATGGCTAGGCAGGAAGATCCACCTCTGTGTCAGCTCGAAGTGGGTAGCTCTCAGTAAGGGCTCAGCACTATGTTGTCTCTCCCCAAACTCTCATCACAGGGCACAATTTTTCAAGACCAAGAGACCTATGGTGGACTATACCTACTGGTTGAAAAATGGCAAACTTGACTTCAGCTTGATGTGTTTCCTATGTGGCTTCTCTACCACCATTCGGGCCTCTTGGATGCCTTTTGTATCAGCTTGTTCATCCTATTCTATCCTATTCTATCCCATGTTCTGACCAGAAAACTGATGGCAGAACCAAGGGAAGTCATGCTGAGAATGAAGCATGCATTTGCTGAGCAAGCACCTGACTTTACTGTGCACAAAGCATCCTCCTGATCGCCTCAGCACCATACTTACTTAGTGCATCCTTCTGAGGCTCCTACCCACTGGCTCTTCTACATCATGCCCACAGTCTCCAAAGCTGATTCAATGCAAACATGGCTTACAAGTAGTTTTATATAGTTGAAAATTACACTTTCTTACACAGGAAGGTCCCTTTCCACAAACAAATCGACTCGAAGATCACTTACTGTGTAAGATTCCAACAATACAGACAGAGCCACTGGACTACCCTCTGTGAGAGCGGGTGAGTCAGTCTGACCTTCACTCTTTGAGGAGTGTCCTCTTACCTCCATGACATAGCCGATATATTCAATGACATGTCCATTGTATTCTTGAGATTTTAAAATCAGTTTGTCACCTACGTAAAAAATATATTACTATGAGTTAAACACAAAATCATAAATCTCCCATTTCACTCTGAAATCAAGTCTTAATGAAGTATAATTAAAATATAAAATTTCTGGTATTTGTTGCTTAAAGATAGATAATGTGTAACAAAAAAACATGTATAGCATACACATTAGATCATGTCCTTTTAAATAAATGTTACTTCATGAACAGAAATGGGATAATACAAGTATGTGGCCGGTTAAAATGACTTTCCCCTGGCCCCAGGTAACCCACACTGAGATCTACCTGCATAGAGAGAAGGTCTGCTCTCGGCAAGCCCGGGGACCTCCAGAACCAGCACATCCCCCTTCCTCTTCAGGACAACGCCACTCATGTTATACTCTTTCAGTTCTATTTCTGCATGGATCTCCTCCAGCCACAGCAGAGTGGAGAACTTCTCCTTGTAGTTTGACATATTCAAAAGCTGAAAAAAAAAAAAGAATTACCCAGTGTGAGCACATCCCACATCTATGTCTAGGGAATAAGCACCCTTAGAGTTCAGATGTCTAAACTGCTACATCCAAGACATCTACTCCAGACAGGATGATCAGGGTTAGAGGTTATGAACTGGTCAGCACACCTCCACCCCTTGGGCTTATGGAGGACCACAGCACTCTGGCTCCTCACTGGCCAAAACCAGTACCCACTACCACAGACTGGGCTCTCAGCCAACTCTGTTGTACCTAATCTGTCAGGTCTTTGAGCTGATTCTAGAAAGGGCAGTGTAACTTCATGGATGTTTGTGAAAGAGGACAAGGCTCTCCATTGGCCTAGAAATAGTGTCAAGGGTCATTTTACTTCCCATCTGAAATAACTGTAAAAATATCTAGATAAAATGGTAAATTCTTAGAAACATAAAAGCTACAAGGACTATACCACAAAGAAACAATGCAATCAGAATATAACGGTAACTACTCAGGAAACGGAATCAGAAACCAAAAACTTTTTCAACAAAGGAAATCCCTGGACCTGGTGGTTTCATGAGTGAATTCTAAAAAACATTCTTAAAAATGGGCAGAATCCTCTTCAAACTTTTCCAGAAGCCCAAGGGAATGCTTTATAATTCATTCTAAGAGGTCAGCATTTCTCTGATATTAAAGTCAGAAAAGGACATTCATTCTAAAGAAAGAAAAAGCATGTTGTACACACTTACAATTCCATCACTCAGGAAAAGGAGACAGGAGAATTGTAGTTTGAGGCTGGCCTGGGCTGCAGAGAGTCAGTGATATGAGGGATGGGCAGGAAGAAGATGAAGGTCAAGAGGAAGAAGGGCAAAGAGAGGTGAAAGAAGGGGGAGAGAAGGGAGAGAAGGGCAGGAGAGAAGAAGACTGTACTTCACTTGGCTACCCAGCAGGCTCAAGAAAGAGGATCATTTCAGCTCACGAGTTTGAGGCTATCATGGGTAACATAAGTAGATTGTATCTCAAAACAAAACAGATAGAACTTACCTAACCATACCTCCCGCTCCAATATAGACCAGTATCTCTTATGAATATTGATTCAAGGATTGTCACAAAACGCTAGCAAACAATGCTATAGTATATTAAAAGGATTATATACGATGGCCAAGGGGGTTTTATTCTTAGGAGGTAGGAATAAGTCAACCCATGAAAATGAACAAATACAGCCAAGTGTTTAACAGAACGGAGAAAAGCACATGGTCGTCCAGATACAGAAACAGTTTCTGACCAAGTACACCATCCTCTCATGACAAAGTGTGACTGTAAAAGTCATACGTACAGGCGGATCTCTGTGAGTTTGTCTACAAGAGCTAGTTCCAGGACAGGAACCAAAAAGCTACGGAGAAACCCTGTCTCAAAAATCCAAAAATAAATGAATAAATGAATAAATAAATAAATAAATTTAAAAAAAGTCATACGTTGTGATGAAAACTGAAAACCATTCCCCTGAGATGCCCATTCTCATCACTTCTACTTATTTCTAGAGGTCTCTGCTATAGCAATTAGTTACGTAAATGAACTCAGGGTGGGAGCTCTAAACAGAAACTAGTAGAGAAATGCAGCTTACTAGTTTGCTCCCGTCTTGCCCACAAGTCAATCTGATGGAAGCAGATCTTCCCACATCACTTTGGATTACATCAAATTAGCATCTGAAGACAACTATGACAGTAAGAATTGTGAGTATAAAATCATCAGTGCTGGGAAAGCTCTTCATACACACACTAAAATGTCAGAACTATGTTTAAGGCACTTCAGGAACAATTAGAAATTCTATTCTAATGCCCAGTCAAACTTCACTTAACTTTGTATGTATGCATCCATGCACATGTGTACATGTAGGTATACTTACCTGTGTTGGGTACATGTAGTGTTCAGAGACTGATGTCAGGATTAAAGGTGCACATCACCACTGACCATCTTATTCATTATTTTTATGTACAAATGTTTACCTATACCACATTCTTGCAATGCCCACAGAGGCCAAAGAGGGCATCAGAGACATCTACAACTGGTGTTACAAAAAGCCGCGAGTCCCATATGGGTGCTGGGAACCAAACCCAGGTCCTCTGCAACAGGAACAAGTGCTACTACTAACTGCCAGGGAATCTCTCCAGCCCCTTTCATCTTATTTTTTGAGACAGATTCACTCACTGAACCTGTAGCTCACCATTTTGGCTAGACTGACTGGCCTCTGAATTCCCTTTTCTGCCCTGACTTATTTGTGTTTTAAACTGGATGATGGAAAAATTAACTCAAGTCCTCATGGTTGCATGGCAAATGCTTTACTCAGCAAGTCCTCATTTTTAAGTGAAGGTAATCAACTCAAATAGCAAGTTTTAAAAGCAAATACATTCTGACATAATACAATCCAAAGATACTAATTTAATACATATTTGCTAAAAAACTATGGTAACAAAGTGTTAAAAAGACTTTGCTTCCCATAATTAAACCATTGTTTCTTTCCTTTCTCCCCCCTCCCCCTATTTTTTTCAAGACAGAGTTTCTCAATGTAGCCTCAGCTGTCCTGGAACTCACTCTGTAGACCAGGCTGGCCATGAACTCACAGAGATACACCTGCCCTCTGCCTCTCTGGGTGCTGGGATTAAAGGTGTGTGTCACAACCGCCCGGCTAACCATTATGTTTCTTAAGAGCAGAAAACTTTATCTGTACAGTAAAAAACACTGTCATTCATAACATGTGATAGCCTCAAACCTTCCGTTACACTTTCAGCTTCACTCAAAGTTTCAGGCATCGCCCTCTGAAGGTTTCTCACAGGGAATGTACCTCTTGCTGCTACAAATGCTTAGCTTTCCAAGATTCCATCTGAAATCTAGGTAGAAGCCTGTGAAAAGCTCGTTCTGCTTGTATAGACCCCTCCCCCCAGTCCATACATTCCCAAGTGGATGCTCCTCAAACTATTAGAAGCTGCATAGCAAGTACTTCCTGGGACAGAGTAGACTTCCCATCCAATGCCAGACCTTAATTAGACCTTTGTTTTCTAGACTTCTCCGCAGCTTCTGAACTCTAAGAGGTGGTCTTCCACCTTCCCTGCAAGCAGTGCACAACTCTTTCCCTGCCTGCCCTCCTGGGAAGAACATCTCAGCAAAGGGAAAACGCAGAGCACAAGGGAATGTTGAGGGGTTGATGGCATTTCCATCCACAGTCACTCATGTCTGTGCCTCGCTGCTGAGTTCAAAAGGGCTGAACTTCCTGAGCTGGTGCATATCTAAGTCTTTCCACAGACTCGATTCTCAGTGCTCCGTCACCAAGCACCAGTGCTGTCCACCCATCTTTAGTGTCCTGAGACTCTACGTAAGGAAAGTGTGGGAAGTTTCCCGTCCCTGGCACAGTAAACCAAGGTAGACCATAGTAGACCACCTGGCAGGGTAGAAGGCTGGCTTGGATCTCCCATTCCCACTCCTCTTCCTGAGAACTCTTGAACACCAGGTCATACGTGAAGGTGATTCTCGTGTCATCCTGAAATTCCTAGTTACCTATGGTGTAAATTACTGACAGAACATCTGAATCCAACGACTCACCATGCTTTTTTGGAATGGTGCCTTAGTGGTAACATCCCACAGCTTTCAGATGTATTCCTACCTCTGCAAGAAGCGGCTGGAAAGTCAGGATGTCAATTTTCTGTTCCACACATTTTTTTAGTCTATCAGGTATTGGATACTGTGGAAGAAAACTTGGAAGTTGTCGCCTTGAGTTCCTTAAAAGAAAAAAAAAAAGTTAAATCAAAAGCAATTATATTATGTGTGTATAGTGTGTGTGTGCATACACATGAACAGAGACCAGAGGACAACTGTAGATGTTGGTCATCAGATGTATCATCCTTGACTTTTAAACATGGTCTCTGGTTGGCCTAGGATTACCTGATTAGGCGAGGCCAACCAGCGAGCCCCAGGAGCTGCCTGTCAACCTCCCCAGGGGTGGGACTACAACATGGAGTACCATAGTGACTTGCTTTTTTTATATGGGTCTGGAGACTGAACTCGGTTTCTCATGGCTACACAGCAAATACCGACTAAACTATACATGTAATTCTCAGTCCAGACTTTTATGTTTATGAGTATCTCTTATCTGTAGTGTATGGGTCCAGAGATGTTGCACATTTTCTAGATTTTTGTCTCCCCAGGTCTCACATTTATTTACTAGGCACTTTACCACTGAGCTATACTTCTACCCCTTTATTTTTTACTCTGCAATATTTATATAGATTTTATCAGTTATAGAATTTCTAAAATGTAACAAAATCTGAAATTTATAGGTCATGTCAACATTCAGACATTTTCAGATTTCAGAAGACTTTGGGTTTTGGGTTAAAAATGTTCAACCAGTATGAGGCATACCCTGTCCTGTTTCAGAAGGCTAGAGTTCATGGAAACACCTGACGTCACACTGGGTTCACTGTGTGTCCCCATACAAGCTCTAGCCTGGCACTCCAGTCTGCAGCAGAAGCCAGGCAGAACTGTGCAAGCTGGGGGAACCAGACTGGAAAAGTCCCAGGGGCCTGCTCAAACCATGAAGCTCGAAGACAATGCATTTAACTTCCTCAGTAGCTAAGCTCTTCTTACTGCACTTTCAGTGAGGACACGAATACCAGAAATGATACTGACACATCACCAGGAAGAAGATACGCGGAGGGGCAGAGAGACGGCTCCATTGTGAAGAGCAATGTCTGCTCTTCCAGAGGACCCAGGCTCAATTTCCAGCCTCTACATGGCAGCTCACAACTGTCTGTAACTCCAGTTCCAGGGGACCTGACACTCTAACACAGACATAAATTCAAGAAAAACACCAATGCACATAAAATAAAAATAATTAAAAAAAGTGAATTTCCAAAATAAGAAAGGGAAGAAGGGAGGGAGGGAGGAAGGGAGGAACAGTGACAGAGACCACACTTGGTAAAAGCTGCCTGAGTGGAATCTGCTTCAACTGTTTTGCAGGTTCTTGGTGCCATGTTTCTCTGAAGAAATTTAATCTTCTGCCTTCATCTAGTTAGCTACATTCAAATTCACGGCAATTTCGTATCCAGTAAGACAAAAAACAGAGTAACAGAAAAGACAGAAAACATGGGAAGACGTGAGGAGTGATAATGAGGACAGGACAGGGATCTCAGTCCCAGGACTCCTTCAACTCTGATGCAGTTTGTCCAAGTGGAGGGAGCAGAGGTGAACTCTCCATCTCTCAGCGTCATCGTCACTTCCTGTACAGTGGGTTCCTTCAAGAACTCTGCAGGTGGTCTGATTGTGAACTCTGGGTAAAAATGCTGCAGTCTGCTGGGCGATGGTGGCGCACGCCTTTAATCCCAGCACTCGGGAGGCAGAGGCAGGCGGATCTCTGTGAGTTCGAGACCAGCCTGGTCTACAAGAGCTAGTTCCAGGACAGGCTCCAAAACCACAGAGAAACCCTGTCTCGAAAAACCAAAAAAAATTAAAAAATTTAAAAAAATGCTGCAGTCTACTACAGGGCACCCAACAGTACTGAAAGCTGCTGCTGCTGCAACTCAGGACTGTGCTCATCTCTGCAGCTGCAGGGTACTCAGGCAAATGGACATCTGGAAAGCAAGACACCTAGTAACCGCTAATAATTAGCTGCAAAAAGTACTGAACTATGGAGGGATTAAGACAATTAGCACACCTGTACACAAGCTGCTCTCTGAGTTTGAGACCAGCCTGGTCTACATAGTAACTTCTATGGTAGCCAGAGTTACAAAGTGAGACCCTGTATCAAAGACAAAAACAAACACAAAGAGTTTTGCTCACATAGAACAATGGAATAGAAGGGAGAAGCCAGAAATGAACTCATACAGCTACAACCATGGGTTTTCAACAATGGTATAAAAAACAGTGGAGAAACGACAGTCCCTGATAAATTATGTAAGTGAAGAATGAAACAGATCTCCACCTCTTGTTTTCTAAAAATCACTTCAAAATGGATCAAGACCCTTTGGTAATTTATAACCTCAGAGGGAGCAGCACTATTAGGAGGTGTGGCTTTGTTGGAGTGGAAATGGCCTTGCTGGAGGAAGTGTGTCGCTGGAGGTGGGCTTTGAGGTTTCCTATGCTCAGGGTACCACTCAGTGTTCAGTGGACTTCTATTGTCTGCAAAATGTAGGACTCTCAGCTCCAGCACCGGGTCTGCCTGCACATCGTTACGCTCCCTGTCAGATGATAATGACTGAACCTCTACAACTGCAAGCAAGTCAATTAAATGTTTTTTTATAAGAGTTGTAAGAACCACAACTCTGAAACTGCATTTCAAGACTTAGGCTCTGGCAAGGTTTCCTGTGCCTGTGACAACGACATCCAGCAGCAATGCTGGACAGAACTGCATGGAATTCAAAGGGAAGGGGCAGCCTGTAAAGTTCTACCAACTGACAAGGAATTAAAATCTAGAATCTATTACAAAACCTCAAATACCAGCCATAAAAATAACAACAAAACAAAAAACCCAAACCATCCAGCCAATATTTGGGCAAATGAATTAGACAGTTCTCAAAAGAAATCCAAAAGTGGCTAATGAACAGGAAAAATGCTACCTAAATTGGCCATAGACTTGGCAGAGGACGGACGGAGCAGTGAGATGTGGGCCTGCACCGCTGCGGGACTGTGAGGTGGAACCACCACCAAGGAGGTCAGTGCAGAGGTTCCTCACAAACTGACACCAGAACTACCACAGATTTACTCCCAGGTCAGAGTCTGAGGATTCCTAAAGAGCACGGCACAGACACTTTTACATTCATGTTTATTTGCCTCACTGTCCTCAACAGCTAAGATATCGGATCAGCCATTTATCCAGCAGCAGCTGAAGGCAGAGTGTGATATATTCATACAAGAATTTTATTCAGGCATAAAAAAGAAAAACAGTTATGTGCTGAAACTGGAGACCACTATCTTAAGAAAAAAGAAAGGGAGGGAGGGAGGAAGGGAAAGAGTGAGCAAGCAAGCAAGTAAAGCAGCTTAAAAAAAGGGTCAAATTTCTCTCCTGTAATTTCCTATGCTATGTGAAGACATACCCTGCGTGAAGTGGAAGGGAGACTGTGTGGGAAGGGGCTAACGGGAGAAGGAAAGAAACAGATGTGTGGAAGCAGAGGCAGACTACTGGAGGAGAGGGGTAAAGATGGAGGAGAGGCAGGCAGGTGTTATCAAGGTACAATTATCTATATGTTTAAACATATTACGAAGAAACCCATTATTTTGAACACATATTAAAAAAAAAACTAAAGAAAGATGGGTGTGGTATCCCACACCTTTAATCCCAGCACTCAGGGAGGCAGAGGAAGGAGGATCTCTGAGTTTGAGGCCAGTCTGGTCTACAGAGTGAGTTCCAGAACAGCCAGGACTGTTTCACAGAGAAACCCTGTCTCAAAAAACAAGCAATAACAATTTAAAATTTAAAGCGGTCTGCTGCAATACATGTAGCTACCCAAGAGGAGCATGACTGACCCTGGGAGTCACCACGCAGGCATGAGACAGCAACTGGGAGTGAGTGCTCACCATCACCCAGACGGCCAGGACACCAGTGACCTTATTCTAGAGCACTGGTTCTAACCTGTGGGTTGAGACTCCTTCATAGATTGAAAGAATCTTAGGGGTTGCCTAAAACTATTAGAAATCACAGATACTGGGGGAAGGAGAGATGGTGCAGTGGTTAAGAGCACTGACTGCTATTCCTGAGGACCTGGGTTCAATTCCCAGCACCCACATGGCAGCTCACAACTATTTGTAATTCCAGGATCCAACACCCTCACACAGGCAAAAGACACCAAAAAAGAAAAAGAAAAAAAAACCACAGATATTTACATTACAACTCATAACAGTAGCAAAATTAGTTACCAAGTAGCAACAGAATAGTTTTATGGTTGGGTCCCCACAATGTGAGGAACTGTATTAAAGGGCTGCAGCATTAGGAAGGCTGAGAACCACTGCTCTAGAGGAGCTCTCATTCGTGGATATGCTAATCCTCCCTGGAAATAGCCAGGAAGGTCTCAGAACACTTGTACTTGGTCTATATATTAGCTTTCTTTGAGGCAACTCTAACTGGACAGGGTGTAGAGCTAGAGTATCTGCTCTTATAACCAACACCTGAACGTTTCCCCTAGGCACACCCTGGAAGTGAGCAATATCCATCAGCACTTACTACTGCTCTGTGCCAGAAAATCTACATTTTGTGAGCTCTATACCATTTACGCCTCAAACCAAATGAGGTAGAGACTATCACTTACAAATGAAGTAAAGGCACAGAGAGGTCAAGAAACTTCCCCAAGGCCACACAGCATCTTGGTTGCAGTGATGTGATTCAAACAATGGTCTAAAGAAGTATGGTGTCCACAGCTGCCTTCCAAACGATGGCCAACAACAAGTGCAGCAACCCACAACACTGTCTGCTAACACAGTCTCCTTCATCCTAACACAGAACTCCATCATCCTTTGTCTTAGACTGTTACTGGGTTAACATGATGTGAACTCCAGAATTTTCTAGGATTACAGAAATAGTTGTCTTGCTCTGATGGGCTGTGGGCCCTGACTCACACCCAGTACCGGGACAAAGCCATCTAATACCCTCACAGGCGCAGGCCCCATTTTGGGGGACCAAATTTAGAAGAAATGTGTTTCTTGAAAGTTTTATGCTTTGTTTACTTCAGACATGAGCAAATGGACCTGGGACACAACCCAGGCAGAAACAAGGTTGTCCACAAACTTCCTATGCTCAAGTCAGACTTCAATCTTAAATATCAGGTCTTCCAAAAGGCTTCCTGTGACCAAGCAATCTTGCGGCCCAACACAAGCTGCACTGAAATTCTGGGAACGGCTTTCTAAAAGCCACACCAGCCGACCCAGCACAAATCTGCCGCTGATGGTGCAGCTGGGCATCAGAGCTGGGCCTGCCCAGGAGTGGATGGCACGAGCCAAGAGCCAAACCATCTTGGCTTCAAAGTGGCCTCAAGATCTGCCACGGAGAGCAGAGTCGAGGGGTGCACGGGCCTGGCCTGCACAGACACAGTTCCATGGGAACACATCCTGCCCCAGGAGCAGCCTTGCCCTTGTCACCTCCTTAGCTGAGAAGAGGTGGACGGGACAGTGAACAGAGAGGACATCAGCTCTCCCAATGGTACCTTTTCTGTGTGGTCACAACAACTGTAGTCTTTGCAGGCACTGACGTTTGGGGAACTTTAGGCTTTTTCCAAGAGAATGGCTCACGCACGGCTATTAGCGCCTCCTCACCACTTACGACATTCACTTCAAGATATCGCCCAATTAGAAAGTTGGAGAAGCACAGCAGAAGGAGCTCCTTGCAACGGCCAGGGTTTCTTAGAAGAAAAAAAGAAAGAAAGAACTTTAGTCTCCTTATGAATGGGGCAGATTCAGTTTGCTTTCCTTCAGTGTTCAGGAAGTTGTAAAGCTAACAGCCATGCTGATTTCTTAGTAATTTTTTTACACAGTAATTTTACACAGAAAAGTTTACTTTATAAAACAAGAAATGTAGTATTTCCCAAGTGTGAAAGTTAATCCCAAATGTCAATGTGGCGAAGGTCTACAATGACTAGGGAGCTGGGGCTCTGCATGTGATTCCTGGTTAGATTAAGAGGCAGGAAAACGTGCTGATTTTGTCTCCATTTCCTGGGTGAGATTCTGAACCAAGTGAGAAGGAGAAGCAAGCTGAGCACAGGCATCACAGCACTCCGACTGAGTGCAATGGAACATCTGCCACAGTGGACTGTGAGCCAACGCAAACTGTATTTCCTTTAGGTTGCTTTCATTGGGACATTTTTATCGTAACAACAGGAAAAGAAGCTAATATAGAAAACTGATGCTGAGAAGTGGGCCAATGCTGTGTTAAGTCCAAACTCATGATTTTTTGTTTTCTAGAACATTTTGGCTTTCAGAAATGTTTGTGACTGTGAAAGAGTCTGATACTTAAGGCTAGAAAATCCCTAGCACGCTGGAAGCAAAGCTTCATGGGCCATTCAGGTGGGTGGAAGACAAAAATGCAGAGAAAAACATGGAGGCAGGGCTGATGGAGATTTTGAAGTACAACAAAGATCCTCCAACAGGATTTGGGCTTAAGGTCATTTGTGTGAATATTTTGGCTAAGAATATGACCTCCTTCCGCCTCTATCCTGATAACTTGAATAAAACTAAATTTAAAGATAATGGACTTATTTGTTTGGCAGAGAGGTCTTCAAATAGAAGAGCACTGGGCTGATACTGCCAAACCTCCTGCTGTTGGCATGACAGAATATACTCTATTGTTTTGTTTTGTTTGAGACAAGGTTTCTCTATATAGCCTTAGCTATCCTGGAACTCCCTCTGTAGACCAGGCTGCTCGGAACTCACAGAGATCTGCTTACCTCTGCCTCCCGAGTACTGGGATCAAAGGCTGCACCACATCCTGCTGGATTATAACTTAGAACTGTGAGACCAAATGAACCATTTATTCCCTAAGTCATCGGTTTTTCCAGTATTTTATCAGGGCAGCAGGCAAAGTAACTAATACATCAAGATAAATCTAGGTGCTAAAACAATCCTTTCTGTAATTCTGAAAGTTGACAGGGAAAACATTTTCAGTATTCGCAAATTCAACTTAGACTTCTAATCACGTGACACGCACAACACTGTTCTTGACTGCTCACTCCCAGCTGTGACATGCTCACCTCTGCTCATAACTATTTTTCTCTACCTAATTCCTCCTGCTATGTTAAAACTCGGTTAAGCTGTCTCATTTTACATGGGTGACTCACCTAACAATTTGATGGGTTTGAAGTAAGGAAGTCAGATCAAAAAGATTTAAATGACTGTTGATGGGAAGGAAGCCTGTACCCAAATGTCAACCTTGGTGACTACATGCTTTGAGCAGCCAGAATGGCACATGAGGAGAGAGAACAGGAGAGGAGAGCTGAGCAAAAGGCTAGGGAATGCTACCTGGTTACAGCCAACCAGGTGAACAGGCAGGATGGAGATAGTGACTTTATAGTCTGGGCTTCGCCTGTCTTTCCCCTCCACCTCTCGTTCACCATAATGTCTTGACAAGATGCCCAGAGGATGAGAAGACAGATGTAGATGGACTGAGATCTTAGGGACACCAGGACACAGTGAAAATGGGCTCAAGATGGCTACCATCAGAAGGGCTCAGAAGCAGCAAGGGAGCTCACATTCAAATGGGTCATGAATACTACTTTCTCTGGAAAGAGTGAGTCAGGTTGTCTGCTGAAGATCACTGTGGGATCTATTCTAGGTGGACAGTTTCCGAATCAATTTTTGTCTATGTATTTGGTTCCATCAGAGACAGGAATACATGCTTAAAAAACATACAACATAGCCAGGCGGCTGCGGCACACACCCTTAATCTCAGCACTAGGGAAGCAGAGGCAGGCAGAGCTCTGTGAGTTCAAGAGCCTGGGCTACAGAGTGAGCTCCAGGACAGCCAGTGCTACACAGAGAAAACCTGTCTCGAAGGAAAAAAATACATAAGCATCACAGGTGATCCAAGAGAGAAACATGCACTAGTACCCCACAGGAAGCTCTTCCCAGCTCCAAGCACATACTTGGCATCACATACGACCACAATGGAAACTTTCTCCCCTGGAGAAATGAGGCCCCCAGGCTCAGACTCCTGCTTCTTTGATGTGTTTCCTTTTTCTCTACTTTCTTCTTCACAAGCACAATCATCTGGGGAATGACATTTAAACCAACAATTAGTGGATAAAGGTAACGTCTTCCTAACAATGTTCTCTCTCTCTCTCTCTCTCTCTCTCTCTCTCTCTCTCTCTCTCTCTCGCAGGTGGCTAACAGAACAGGGAAGTAGGTGAAGAGGATGTACCCACAAGACCAGCCAGGACTAGGGAAAGGTTTCTGGAACTGGCCATCTCCCCAGCTGAGGGTTGCCTGTATCTCCTAAGGCACATGCTGGTCTGTGTCAAGCTGTTTCCATCCCTCTCTCAGCTCCCAGACCAGAGGAACACAAGTATCCAGATTAAAGAGTTCAGACGAGTGGGCCATAAGGCCAGCTCAATTCCTGGACCTTCTGGAGCAGCAGCTGCACCATTTACCTGGAGAGTTTTCTGTGTTGTTCTCCAGATTGCTCTCTGGGATCTCATCAGTTCTGTTTTCTCTGTGATGATTCAATGAATTAACATTTTCACCCTCAGGAACAGAAAGAGCAGCCTCCCCTGAGCAGGTCTGTTCTCTGCCTTGTGCCTCAAATCTAAACTGTTGAGCTTTATCCCAGCCAGCCAGTCTGCAACTGACGAGGTCCTGAGAAATCTCTCCTTTATTCCTGGAAAAAAAGAAAAAGACCATGGACTGTCAGGACTTCAGAGATGAGACATTCCAGTCAACTAAAACCACACAATTCAACACAGTGAAGGGTGCTGCAAACATCTTCACTGTGTTTGAGGGACATTTTAGGGCAAAGACTATGGAAAGGGTAATATAGTCTTGTTAGGCAGACCAGCCTTCAATTTGCAGTAATTCTCCTGCCTCTACCTCCCCAGTGCTGGTGTTGTAGGCATGAGTCACCATACCGTCTTGAGGTGATTTTTTTTAATATTCATTCATTCATTCATTCATTCATTCATTCAATCATTCACTCATTCTAATACATGTGTGGGCATGTGTCTCAGGGTGTGCTTGCAGAAGTCAGAGAGTAACTCAAGGGAATCAGTTCTTTGTTTCTTCCTTTACATGGGTTTCTCAGCCTGTACAGCAAGCGCCTTTACCCAGAGAGGCAACTCACTAGGCCAAGGAGTGAGATTTTTATAGACTTTCAGAGGAAAAAAATAAAAGGCACCATACAGTTTCTACAGATACCTTAAATCACAGTTTAAAAGCAGCTTGTACCCCCTCCTTTTACCTGAATCTCCAGGGCATACTTACTCTATCCAGATCACCATCGCCTTGCTTTCTCCCTCCTTCAATGTTCCAAAGCTGGTCGTTCTCGTAACTTCAATATCACCTTTGTTTTTCAGTAAGAGGGCTCCATAGGGCTCTTGAGGGGCCTCAGCAACAGCAGCAGGGTCTCTAAAGAACACCCAACAGTGTCAAGGTGCTGAGCCTCCCTGCAGCATGGCTGCCTCTTCCTCACCTTCCTCCCACCTCCCTGGAGACCAACTGCCTGATAAGATGACAGAGGGGCCAGTCAGGGAGTCTACAAGTCCCACAATTTCTAAAAGAGCATCACAAGTCCCTCAAAGGCTAACAGCAAGGGGTGAATCAGGTGGCATCTGACCTATTCCCATAGAGGTTACAGTGCTGAGATTTCTGTTCTCCATTGCCTGAAAGCCTACAGTGGATGGATGTTGGGAGGAGAAGAGGAGGCACACAGGGCCTTGCATTCAGAGATCTCCCCAACTTGTATGTGGAGTATTTTTCTTTGCTTTTAATTACAGGACTGCATACTTAGCGCTGGTCCTGTAAGAGTAAGATGGAGATGAAAAATTCCCACTACTTAAACATTTCATTGTTCTTTTCTACACTCGCATTTGTCTAGATGTACAACTAACACTGTGCTACAACAGCCTGCAGAATGTGGCACAGTATGCTACTTTGTAGCCTACAGCAATACTTATATAACTGTACTCTATGATATATGCACAATCACTAAGCTGCCTGAGCAGTGACATATTTCTCAGAACATATATCCAGTATTAAGCAATATCTGACTGTATGTGAAAACAACTCAAGGGGAAGTTTTGCTCTTCAGAAAATAAGAAACTTCTTTCTCTCACAAAGAATCCTTTCTTCTTCTTGTCCACTTGCTCTGTGATCCAAGCATGGAAATGGGCAGCATGCCCTGGTTCCCTAGGCCCCGCAGCTTCCACTCCATGGTCAAGATAGACTGGGCATGTCATGGAGCAGAGCTGTCTCAGACACGGCTTGGTGCTAGATGTGGGGCAGAAGAGTAGACAAAGCACTTTCCCATGCAGAACTGGTGTTTTATGGAGGAGACAGGACTGTGAGTAGAAGAATGAAAGCTATCTAAGGGAGCCTACTAGTGGTCACTGCTAAGGGCAACACAAGACAAGGAAGCCCAGCAGACAGACACTGTTGCAAATAAAGTACAGAAAAAACTCAGACACAGGATATCTAATCACTGTAATAGCCTACTACGTCAGGAGATGGTGGTGGTATACACCTTTAATTCCAGCACTTGGGAAGCAGGGGCAGACAGATAGATCTCTGTGAGTTCAAGGCCAGTGTGTTCTACAAGCAAGCTACAGGACAGCCAGGGCAACACAGAGAAACCTTGTCTCGCAAACAAACAAAAAAAATTTTTTTTTTGCCAGGCAGTGGTGGTCACCTTTGATCCCAGCACTAGGAAGGCAGAGACAGGGAGATATCTGAGTTCAAGGCCAGCCTGGTCTACAGAGCAAGTGCCAGAATAGTCAGGACTGTTGTACAGAGAAACCCTGTTGACGGAGGTGAGTCTTGTATCTTATCTGTTGCTTTCATTGGTTAACTAATAAAGAAAACTGCTTGTCCTGAAAGGACAGAAAATTAGGTAGGTGGAGTAAACAGAACAGAATGCTGGGAGAAAGAAGCCAAGTCAGGCAGTCGCCATGATTCTCCCACTCCAGACAGACGCAGGTTAAGATCTTCCTTGGTAAGCCACCTCGTGGGCTACACAGATTATTAGAAATAGGTTAGATCAATATGTAAGAGCTAGCCAATAAGAAGCTGGAACTAATGGGCCAGGCAGTGTTCAAAAGAATACAGTTTCCTGCTGGGCGGTGGTGGCGCACACCTTTAATCCCAGCACTCAGGAGGCAGAGGCAGGCGGATCTCTGTGAGTTCGAGACCAGCTTGGTCTACAAGAGCTAGTTCCAAGACAGGCTCCAAAACCACAGAGAAACCCTGTCTCGAAAAACCAAAAAAAAAAAAAAAAAAGAATACAGTTTCCGTGTAATTATTTCAGGGCATAAGCTAGCTGGCGGCCAGGAGCCGGGCAGCAGGAACGTAGCCCGCTGCTCCTATCACAACACCCTGTCTCAGAAACAAAGAAAGAAAGACAACAATAACAACAAAAGAACCTACTACATTATATATATATTTACTTTTGTGCTGTGAGTGTTTTGCCTGCTTGACTGTATATGTGCCAGGTACTCAAGGTCAGAGGAGGCAGGTACCAGATCCCCTGGGGCTGGAGTTGCAGATAGCTGTGATTTGCCATAGGGTGCTGAAAATGCAAGCTGGCTTCTCTGCAAAAACAAGTGCTCTTAATCACGGAGCCAATTCTCCAGCCCTCAATATATATTTTTCATAATGAAAGGACAACAGATTAAAACAAAAAATTGATGTTAGATATGCTGGTATACACCCTTAGTCCCAGAAGTTGAGAGGCAAAGGGGGCACATTTTTCTAAGTTCAAGGCCAGCTTGGTCTATATAGGAAGCTCCAGGCCAACCAGGACCATATAGCAAGACATTGTCTAAAACAAACAATTTAACAACAACAAACTTCACATAAAAGTTGGGCTAGATGTGTAGCTCAGTGGGCAGAGTGCTTACTTAACATACACAAAGCTCTGGGTTCATTCCCTAGAAATGGTATGATTGTATATGTCTCTTTATTCCAGGTTTTAGGAGACAGGCAAGAGTATCAAAATTCAAGGCCATCCTCAGCTACATAGTAAGTTTGAGGCTGTCTTAAGACCCTGTCAAATAAAACAGGTGAATAAAGAATAAAATTATAAAATGACAATAACTACTATATGATTTGAATATGATTTGTCTTTTACAAGACTCATGCTGAAATTTAATCTCTACTATGAAGACGTGGGATGCTGCCCCTTCCCAAACAAAACAAAACAAAGCAACAAAGAGGTGGGTCCAGATAGCACTTCTGGGGACTGAGTCCCAGGGCTCTGCCCTCATGAACAGATTAAACTTAGAGTAATGGGTTATCTCCAATGGGTCCATTATATAAGCCAATTTAACTAGGGTTTTCTTAACATGTGATGTTTCGTGTTACCCCAGCCAGGACTCTGCTGACCAGAAGGCCATTTCTGGATCTGGGGTATAGCTCAGTGGTAGAGGATTTTGTCAGAGTGCACAAGGCCCTGGCATCAACCCTTAGCACTGAGGCTGGGTGGGAGAGGTGTAGGGAGTCCCATCATTAGATGCAGCCCTTGATCATGGACCTGAGCAAAGAGTCAAAATAAACCTTATTCTCTTGTACCTGACCCAATCTATGGTAATGTGTCATCAGCAACAGAAAATGGATGAAGACAATCACCACCAAAAGAATAAGGATTAAGGAATTCTTGGGGCTGAGTGTAGTGGGATACACCTAAAGGAGGCAGAACTAGGTGGATCTCTTGTGAGTGTAAGACCAGCCTGATATACATAGAGAATTCCAGGACAGCTAGAGCTACATAATAGAGACCCTGTCTAAAGAGCAAATAAAAGGAGACCCTTGGAATATTCTACCTTCAATCAACCACAAAGGAGAAGACTCTTTTAACCAGAAGTAAATACAGGGCCTGGAATGTCAACTATTCTGACTTAATAAAATACAGCATACATGCTCAAAACAGGAATACGTTCTGAGAAATGGGTCTTCAGGTAACTTTATGCTTGTGTCAATAACATACTATACTTGCAAAGACCTAAGCAGGCCACAATCAATGTCACTACGTTCTCTCTCTCTCTCTCTCTCTCTCTCTCTCTCTCTCTCTCTCTCTCTCTCCTGTGTAATGCTATGGCTCACATGGAAGACAGAGGACAACTTGTGGGAGTCAGCTCTATCCTAGTATGTTAGTTCTAGGGATTGAACTCAGGCCATTAGCCTTGGCAATGAGTACTTTTAACTGCTGAGTCACCTTGTCAGCCTGGTGGTATGATCTTATGGGACAAGCATCATATATACACAACCCATGAATGATTGAAATGTTAGACAAACTTGACTACAACTCTTAAAAAATATAGTTAAAATTGGTCTTTTTATTTCCAAAGAAGAATGGTTTGGGTACCACCTCTTCACGGGGGTCATGCACAGTGCTCTCCAGATGTAGCATGACTGGCTGCTCTCCACCACCACAGCATTGACAATGTCGTGCCTTCTTGGTATGTACCCTTCCGGCAGCTTCAGAGAGTCCAGGCTGAAGAAGATGCTGTCCTCTATCACCCCATTCCTCCCACACAGGCTGGAAATGCAAACCTGCAAGTGCAGTGCTGAATATTGCTTCAAAAAGTCTATGCACAGGGGCACAGTTCTCAATATTTGTTTCTCTGACTCTGACTACCCCAGTCTGGTCTTGCAAAGCCAGTAAAGTCCAGTACAACATGGATGCTCAAGAGCCTGGGAGCTTTCAGGCTAAAAAAAGAGATTTGTGGTGGTGGCTGACATCTTAACCCAACTGCTCTGTCATGGTCCAGTTCATGCATCCACCTCACCCCAAGGCAAACTCAATGCTTCCACAACCCGTCATTCCCTAAATCACCAGCTGACAATGAAGTCCAAGGCCCTCAATTTATCATGTGTATGCTTTGTCCTAGACACCTTTAACACATCCAGGTAAATGCTGTAAGTCAGTTAATTGTACAAGCATGCTGCTGCCTCTACTTCTCTTTAAAAATAGTTATTTTCTCTGTGTGGGTGATTTGCCTGGATGTTTTTGCACCATGTGCATGCAGGGCCCTTGGACAGCAGAAGAAGGAGCACACTAGATCCTGTGGAACTGGAGTTCACAGACTGTTGTGAGCCACCAAGTGGGTGCTAGGCAAAAAACCTAGGTCCTCTGGAAGAACAGCCAGTGCTCTTAACCACTGAGCCATCACTCCAGCTCCACCTCTACTTCCTTAATGAAACACAGGCTAAGACTGAGCTTTATCTATGCAGGCTTACTACAGCATCAAGGAGAATCCATGGCAGCAGTTGTGGCAGAAACTCACTCATCAGCACATTACCTTGTCCACACGCTTGTACCGCAGTGGCTTCACAGAGATTGCCTCGCTGCTCCATGTCCCTGGTCTGATCCAGTACTCAGCCTCTACCCAGTCTCCCTTACATGGGCGGAAGCCTGAATGGCCAAAGAAAAAAACTTCAGTAAAATTCAAATGTACAGTGCACTCTGAAGTTATGACACATTGAAATAATTTCTGGTCCATCTCCCCTCATCTCTCTGTCATGATCCAATCCGTGTAACCCTCACCTGAAGCAAATCCATGCTCTCACATTAGTTACATGGAGCAGAGTTTGGCTATCAACCATCCTCCAGTCTCCAAACAGTGACTCTAACCTTCCTAATGCCACGGCGCCTTAATACAATTCCTTATCTGTGGGTGACCCCCAACTACAACATTATCTCATGATTACTTCATAACTAATTTTGCTGCTTTATAAATCATAATGTAAACATCTGCTTGCTATCCCTGTGGAGTCACAACCCACAGGTTGAGAACACTGCTCTAAGAGCACAGAGAACCCAGTGGTCAGTCTCAAGTCAGGCTTGTTAGCTCAGATCCTAACCCCAGGAAATCTACTCTCTATATTTTGTCATATCAAAAGTATTTTTAACCCGGTGTGGTGGGGCACACCTTAAGTCACAACACACAGAAAGCAGAGGCAGGCATATCTCTGAGTTCAAGGCCAGCCTGGTCTACAGAGAGAGTTCTAAGGTAGCCAGGGCTTAGAGAAAAACAATAACAAAACCAAAACCAGAATAAAATCCCAAAGAACCTGGGCTGTGAAGACTGCATGCAAGATGACCTGTATTAAAATGCCAGAATCACATAAAATCTAGGTGTGGTAAGAAAGAGAGAGGGAGAGAGAGGAAGAGAGAGGGAGAGGGAGGGACAAAGAGAGGGAGAGGGAGGGAGAGAGGAAGAGGGAGGGAGAGGGAGGGAGGGAGGGAGGGAGGGAGGGGAAGGGAGAGGGAGAGAATGAGTGGGGGCAGAGAATGTGAAGTCTTGGAATTAGGACCAAATTTCTAATCCTTAACATAATTCTGCTGTTTTATACTGTGTATTTACGAAACAGTGTCCTCAGCTTTGAGGACAACTCTGTAGAGTCAATTCTCTCCTTTCATCTATTCAAGATTCTAGGGCTCATACTCAGCGTGCCAGGGTTGCATAATATACACCTTTACCCATTGAGCAACCTGACCAGCTTTGGGTACAGGCCTTAAAAGCAACAACCAAGACCTCAGGAATAACAGAGACGAGAACAACTCAAGTAACAGCTTTAACTAACGAGGAGGAATGTGAGCCAGGTGGACCTTGCTGGGCTGTGTCTGGTGCTAGAGTCCTGGAAAGGCCCTTAGTTTACTACTGTTTGGACCCCATGCTTTCGGATCTTACCCAGGGGCCATATGGCAAAGTCTTTCACATTGAATTTCCTTTCAAGGATGTTATTTTGCTATAGTCACTGGGTTTTATCAATCAAGATGTTAGTAGAAAATTCCACATCTCTGAGCACACCTCTCACCCTACAGAAGAACCTTTGCCTCACAGGACTTTTTCTGAGTTAGAAAATCCATATGTGTCTTTACCTCTCAGGTAAACCTTCTGTACCTCTAGTGAGGTAGAATAAGGTAGAAAAGACCAATTATTAGATGCTCATTTAGGGGTTTACTTAAAGCATTATTTTTACTGCCCATTTCTAAACTTGACCTCACTTACTACCTTGAGCAGAATGACCTGGAAAAATAGCTGAAAAAACCAGTTGTTGCCCTTATCAACCAGCTGACTGCCATATACACTTCTGTAAAATCATGACACCCTGCCTCCACAGCTCCTACCTTGTGGTTTTAGATCTATAAACTGGAGCCGATACTGAGGCCTTTCAGGAATTATCCTGGTTTCGATTCACTGGTGACATCGCTCTTCTGACTGCCACTGGTGTCAGAGTGCTTATTCCAGAAAGATTCACTCAACATAACCCATGGCTGCAGTGTGAAATACATCTCCCATCAAGGCTGCAGTGGGGATGGCTTCCAGTTGGCATGGCTGAGGGGTCTAAACAATCAGAGACAACCTTCTTCAAAATCCCCAACAGCACCTGCCAATTTCATTTTGGGAACCACAGGTCCAGGGAGAGTGGCACCCAGGCTATAGGGCAACTGATCCCTCATCTTTTGACATGTCAGTCTAGTGCTGCTTTACAGCTCAAAAGCCTTGGTAACGGTTTCAGTTCCTTCCTGTTTGCAGTGTGCACACCTTTTGGCCTGAGGTCTCCAATGACTAGCACAGCATTCACGACTAGACAGCTTTGTTTAGCACACACAGAATTAAACTAAGTGAATGACACGAGCAAATTATTTCTTTAGGTACAAAAGTAAAAATTTAGCTTGGCTAGAAACAAATATAACTAAAAATGGAAAATAAAAAAAATGCAAGATGATCCAAGTCTTACTGTAATGAATGCAAAGTATCTTAGAACTGTTCCTAACCACGTGTAATGGCTCAAACCTCTAGTCAGACCAAGCACTCAGGAGACTTAGGCAGGAAAGGGAGATCACTGTAAGTTCTATCCTGGTCTACAATGTGAAACCCAGTTACAACAAACAAAAAGAAAAGAACATTTCTTAGACCAATACACTGTTATATTAGCAACAAACTTTTTTGTTTGATTGGTTGGTTTTTTGGTTTTTCAAGACAGGTTTCTCTATTGCTTTGAAGCCTGTCCTGGAACTAGCTCTTGTAGACTAGCCTTGAACTCACAGAGATCCTCCTGCCTCTGCCTCCCCAGTACATGCGCCACCACCCGGCACAGCATACTGTTCTTATATTAGTGACCAGTGAATGTGTTTGAGAGATAAATACAAAACAAGTAAAAGCAGAGTTTAAATCATGATTCCCCCCAATCCAAAGTCTACCTAACATTCAAGAACCCTTGTGTGAGGCCAACACCCGGCAGCCATTCCCAAACATGATTTTTTTCAATAATACATGTAGTCAATTCAAGTTTAATACATAAAAATTACTAAAAGACAGAACATTTAATTTTAAATATGAAACAGAAATCCATCTAGCTACCTTCACACACACACTCCAGAGAGAAGTATGTGGTCTGGCTGATGTAACCAGCACCTTCCAACATGGAAGTCACACAGCCAATCAGCACTCTGGGCCTGGAGTCTGACAACCCTTTGCTAGAGTTTTTGTTATCATCTTCCCATTTATCAGAGACAGCTTCCACCTGTAAGACAAATGAGTGACTACATCATTATAAAGAAGAGTAAGAAAAACAAATTACAGGCAGGACTGGGACGTGCAGGAACAGGTACAGTGGGTTCAGTGTCTGGGAAGATTTGCTTCCTGATTCACAGAAAGTGTTTTATGAAGGCACTTTTTTAAAAAAGAGTTAAAACAGATACCCAGGTTAAGCTGGATGTGGTAGAGCATGGTTTTAATTCCAGCACTCAGGACACAGAGGCAGATGAGTCTCTATTAGAGTCCTGCCTGGTCTATGTAGTAGTCCCAGGTCAACCAAGTCTACACAGTGAAACCGTCTCAAAAAAATCAATAAAAAAAAAGGGGGGAGGGGGAAGAGTCGCCTGTAATTCTGGCCACCATGGGTTTCAGAATGTAACATACTTTTGGAGACAGCTGTATAAAAATTCCTTCTGAATAAACATAAAAATATTCAAGAAAACATTAGTAAAATGAATGTAATGGCATATTATAAGGAATATACACCACAAACAAATAGGGTTTATCCCAGAATGCAGAAGTAGTTAAACATTTAAAATTCAGTCAACATATCACACTGGTAAGATGAAAAAAATTAAGTGAATATTTTCATTGATGTATAAAAATCACTTGATAAAATTCAAACCTTCTAGGACAGGGAAGAAAGGAAGGATGAGATCTAACATGGCCAAAGCATACGGCAAACCTGTATGAAAGTGTCTTGGGACTAAGAGACGGCTAAACAGTTAAGAATGCTGAGTGTTCTTTCAGGACCCAGGTTCAATTCCCAAAACCTACATAGCAATAACTGTATTTCATTTGTATTTTAATAAATAAAGCTTGCCTGAAGATCAGAGAGTAAAACAGCCGCACTGATCAGCCTTCAGACCCGGCAGTGGTGGCACACACCTTTAATCCCAGTAGGCACACTAGTGTGCCACAGAAACTGCCAGTGGTGGTGCACGCCTTTATTCCCAGCCCTAGAGAGAAATATAAGACTGGAGGAGACAGCTCTCACACAGTCTCATTCTGAGATTCCTGGAGGCAGGATCACTTTTTCAGACTGAGATAGAGGTAAGAGCCAGTGGCTGGCTGTTTTGCTTTTCTGGCCTTCAGGCTGAACCCCAATTTCTGTCTCTGGGTTTCTATTAATCGTGTTACAAATAACCATCTGTAACGCCAGTTCCAGGGGATCTGACGCCCTCTTCTGGCCTTGTCATGCACTGCACACACAAGGTAAACAGACATGTGCAGACAAAACATCCATACACATAATATTTAAAAAAAAACTCAAAAATTTTAATGTCTTTATAAAAGTTGTCACCATGCAAGGAATAGATGCCGCAATAATTTTATATTTAAAATTTTCCAGGCTGGGAATAGTGGCACACATCTTTAATTCTAGCATTCAGGATGCAGAAGGAGGCAGATGTTTTGGAGTTCAAGGTCAATGTGGTCTACATAGCAAGTTCCAGGGCAGCCAAGTATACATGGAGAGATTCTGTCTAAAAACAAAAGACAAATCTCAGCAATCCTTTGCAATACAAACAACGAAGCAGGAATAAAAAGGGAGCTTTTCCAGCACAGTAAAGGAACATAAATAAAGGAATGTGTCTGCCATGGTTAGCGTCACCCAATGCTGGTGATGAAATGCTTTCCTCCACGGTCAGGAAACAGGCGAGGGTGTCCACTCTCCTCGTGTCTATTCTACACTGGATTCAAAGTCCTCACCAAAAAAACTAGGTAAGAAAAAGAAACTAAAGGCTATATCCAAATTAAAAAATTAGCAAAATTATCTTTGTTTACAGATGCATGTATAAATTCCTAAAGATTGCACATTTAAAAAAAAAAAGACCCCAAGCAATTAAAGCTATTAATGGAATTTGATAAGGTACCAGGCAAACAATTTGTTTTGTTTCTATGTTCTTACAATAAAGAATACAAAATAGAAATTAAACTTCAAAAAGAAGCTGGACATGGTAGTGCATACCTTAATACCAGCATTTGGGTGGCTAAGACAGAAGATTGTGAACTCAAGGCTAGCTTAGGCTATAAAAGAAGATTCCATTAAAAAAAAAAAGAATACTTAGGAATCAACAGTCAAGGAGACAAATTAAGATGAAAAACTTAATCATGTAATTACACTAAATGAAACTATGTAACAAAATCAACAATAATATTGAGAGCTAGTGGTTGAGAATTCCTGCATTGTTATCATCAGGTTCAGAGTGCAGATCCTAACAGTCATGTAAACAAGTTGATACAATGTTGCTAATTTAATATTAATTTGATCATTTTGTATTATTTAATCTATCATTCTACTTCTAATACTTTATACTATCAAAGAACTATTTTTATATAAAATAGGAAATTGCTGAATAAAAGGCACTGATCATTTTGATAGTCAAATGTTTTGTTGCTGTTGTTCTGTCTTTGTTTGAGACAGGGTCTCACTAGGAAGCCTTGGCTGGACTGGAGGTCACTGTGTAAACCAGGTTAGTTTAGAAGTCACAAAAATCTGCCTGCCTCTACTTTCCAAGTGCTAGGATGGCCGATCTTTATAATTTTAAACAATTATTTTTAAAACACTAGAGAAATTTTAAATAAAAATTAAAGAATAGGTGACACTGCATAAATATATAGGAAAACTTTGCTTTCTGAATTACAAATTTCTATGTCTGAATTATTTGCCATTACCATCATTTGTGTTTTAAAACAGAAATCTCTATAAATGACAAAAGCTGTCTCTCCCAGGCACACTTCACCACAGCCTTCTTGGCTGGGCCATGTCTGAGAGTCACAGTGAAGGGTAACTGCTCCTAGCAAGCTAAGACTCACCCTGATTGCTTTCAGTCCATTCGACACCTTGTTTTCTTCAACAACGGCAATAACCTCCTGCCCAACATTCAGAAGGACTTTGCTGGTCACAGCATCATTGGAAAAGTAGATTAGATCATCAATCATGCCATAATCACTGCAGTATCTTGTCACAACGCCCTGCACAGTTTTCAACCTGGTATCACCTGGGACAAGTGAGCAATGAGGTTACATTAGTAACAAAAGATAATCCCAGAGCCAGAGAGAACGGCTCAGTGGCTTAGTGCTCCCTGTTCTTCCAGAGGACCCCAGTTCAATGCCTAGCACCCACAGGGGCTGTGGTGGAGTGTCGTAACCATCTGTAGCCCCTGAGGATCTCATACCGTCTTCTGGCCTCTGTAGCTACCAAACACATACAGAGTGCGCCCTCTCTCTCTCTCTCTCTCTCTCTCTCTCTCTCTCTCTCTCTCTCTCTCTCTCTCTCTCTCTCTCTCTCACATACATACATACATACACACACACACACAATTAAAAAGTCAAATCCTACTACAATTAAACTCTACAGAAAAAGGCAAAGTATGGGTATTCATGGGGACAGGAACTTATTGGCTGGATTTGAGAACTGGAGAAGCAGCCATTGAAGTACGTTTGAAAGAGTGATTTTGAAGACAGAAGAATCCTAGGTTCTGAGGGGCGCAGGCAGTGAACAAGGCGGGGCGAGCTTTGACTCCAAACTCAGGCTGCCTGGCTTGACTCTAGCGCTTCTACCACGTGTAACCCTGATGTGGCCCTGAACCCTTTACACGTCAGCTACCACCTATGAAATGAAGTCAGTAGCTATCACTACATGACAGCGGTTGTATGATTAAACGGCAGACTATATGCACAACGTGCAGACTTGTGAGTGGCTAGCACGGGCTAGGTGCCCTGTATATGATCAGGCGTAGATGGGCATCTGAGGAGGCCTAGACATGCATTATCTGTCACCGTCTCATCACCGTCTTAGACACAGCCTAAGAGGGTAAGGCTGCAAACAGCACTGAGGGAGGGCACTCGGAAGGGCATCTCCTCAAGGAGAGGAGAGAGACCTGGCCAGTCCGTGACCCATCTTGGGCTGGAGCTGCAGCCACCCCCTGTGAGTCCCCACTCCACCTTTCCCCTCACCTCTCACTGGCAATTCAATTCTCAGCCCCCAGACCACAGGATACCTGGGGAGACAGTGCAGCACAAAAACCGGATCAAGCTGTGGCTGAAAGCCGCTGTTCTCGCTCTTCCACACGCTGTGGCCCTTTAATACAGCTCCCCGTGCTGTGGTGACCCCCCCACACACACACCATAAAATTATTTCATTGCTACTTCATAACTATAATTTTGTTACTGTTGCGAACCATAATGTAAATATCTGACATGTGACCTCCATCGGGTGTCCTGCCATAGGTTGAGAGCCATTTCTTTGGAAGGATAACGTTATTTCTGCATGTTACTTTTGGCACATTAGCACACTTACATACAGGTCTTTATCATGCTGCGCTCAGCAACTCCATCTTTTTTTTAAATGTTATTTCTAGCTTCTCTTTCAGGAAATTTCATTCTTTTAGAAGACAGAGAAAGCAACCAGCCCGAATTCCCATGCGGGGTTGGGGGCGAGGGGCTAGAGAGAAAGGCACAGTGACGTCAGCAAACATAGCGCTTAGACCCGGGAGGGGTAGGTCACCTCTTCAAATTAGAAGCCTGGGGACGGTAAACAATCCAAGGGGGACGATTTCATAGCTCTTTGAAAGGACATGAGGTGGTGAGAGTATGATTTCTAGACCTCCAAGAGGTCGGTGGGGGGCAGAAAGCAGGCAGAAACGTGCAGAGACAGCAGGTCCCTCTGTGTGGCACCAACCATGCATTGTTAAGGTAAGGGAGAACGAGGAAACCAGTGGCAGCGGACCCAAGAGTTTAATCCAACACTCAGGAGGCAGAGGCGGGCACATCTCTGTGAGTTCAAGGCCAGCCTGGTCTACAGCGTGAGCTCCAGAACAGCCAGGACTACACAGAGAAACCCTGTCTCGAAAAACCAAAACCAAAACCAAGAAGCAAGGTCCAACCTTAAGCCTCTAATGGCCTGTTCTTGGGCCACACGGAAAGAGGGGAGCACCAAAGAAGGCACCCTAGCATGACCCTAAGGGGTCACAGCCGGCCCCACCTCCCAGGCCAGCTGAAGGGCTTCCTGCTGGGGGCTCCTCGAGCCCTTACCTTCTGACAGCTCCGGCCCGGGTTGCCCGACCTCCTCCTCCGGGAAGTCCTCCCTCCTCCAGAAGAAGGACACCAGCTTGGCCGCTAGGCGCAGCATGGCACCCACTCAGCTTCCAGCCAGGCCCCAGGAGCTTGCACGCCACAGCCCCGCCCATTGGCCACTACGCAAGCGCCCCTAGAACTCAGCCAATAGGCTTGTTGTGTCTGCGCCTGCGCCTGCCTGTCCTAGGACTCAGCCAATAGGATCCTTGCATATGCCATGAGCCACGACCGTTAGCAAGGCGAGTTTGACGGTTAGCACGCGAGGGAGCCCCGAGTTCCTCGTGGAGGCCAAAGAGACCTGACATGCGCAGTGTCCTGACCGTGGGGAGGGGCGGGACTTCAGGCCTGGATGGTCTCGGCCTGAAGCTGGGGCGGGCATTTCTGCTCAGTCTACTTAAGTAAAAAATGAGGCCCAGCTGTGGTGGTGGCGCGGCGCATGCCTTTAATGCTGGCACTCGAGAGGCAGAGGCAAGCAGATCTCTGTGAATTCGAGGCCAGCCTGCTCTACAAAATGAGTTCATGATAGCAAGACAGCTCGGACTGTTACACAGAAAAACCCTGTCTTGAAAAACAAAAACAAAAACAAAAAAATAATAAAAATAAAGCCCACAGAACAAACAAAGCAAAGAAAGGTGAAGAATTTCCCCACTGAGTGTGACCTTAGGAGTGATTTTGTAGAAATTCTACAAAGAGAGATGCCTCCTCTCTTCCAGTTTTTCTGAGGATTTTATTTTGGGGGGCGGGGGGTACGTTATATACCTAGACTGCCTATGAACTGGCGATGTAGCTAAGGATGCTTTTACAGTCCTGATTCTCCTGCCTCTATCTCCCAAGCCCTGAGCTTACAGGCCTGTGCTACCGCACTGTTTTATGTGGTGCTAGGGATTCACAGCCTGACATGCTTGGCAAACATTGCTTCAACTGAGCTATATCCCCAGCCTGTAAAGTGGTTTTATTTTGTGTTTTTTTTTAAAGCAATTATTTTTAAATTATGGATTTCTGTTTAAATTTTGATTAACTTGCATCCTACATAATTTGGCTTACAAGTTCCATATATATATATTTGGTGTGGTTTTCTTGACCATATAGGATATTTTATTTTGCTGTTGCTGTTTTTGTTTTTTTTTTTTCCAGGCATGTTTGCATATGACTAGAGAGTTTCTGCTACTGATCTCATTTCACATGGTCCTAGATAGTCAAATCTGGACGACTTCTGTTTTTAAAATTTATCAGGGGATGGTGGCCCACACCTTTAATCCCAGTACTTGGGAGGAAGAGGCAGGCAGATTTCTGTGAATTCCAGGCCAGTCTGGTTTACATAGTTAGTTCTAGGCCTACCAGGGTTACATGGTGAGACACCATTTCAAGATGAAATAAAACACAAACCCTTATCAAGAATTTCCCCGCTACATTAGTCTCCTGAGCCTCCTCCTCTGTATGTTCTGTGTCATAAACGAGATGTGTTCTGATGAATTAGTTAAGGGTCTAATTTAGTTCTAGATTAGATTTTTAATTTTTTTTAAAAAAATACATCAGATCTGTAAGTTTAATTTACACTCTTCTTGAGAGAATGGGAGAGAGCATTTCTTTCCTTAAACATTTAGGGGCCTGCCATAAAGGCTTCCTCTTGGGTGTGTTGCTGGGGATACATGGGAAAAAGGACCTGGGAATTTATAGGGTTGGAGTTACCTTCAGAGACGAAGGCTGGATACACAGTCAGGCTTCCTCTCACGGGGTGTGGTAGAAGTACTGCCCTTCAGGACTGTCCGTGGACGTGGCCAGCCTGAGCTGCTGTCCTGCATCAGTCTCTTCTGCATTTCCATGCAGACACCCTACGGCCATTGTATCTGTCCATCGTATCTAAAAGAAAACATGATGTTGCTTCTAGACCTTTCTCCCTGATGGTCTAAGTAGCCCACAGTACTGATCGCAAATGGGATGGATTGGATCATCCATATCTACCTGGAATTGATCCCCTCTCATCATTTTGGGTCACATCTCCTCCCATCCCCAGCCTGTTCTCCATCCAGCACCCGATGTCAGTCCACCTCAGGGTCAAAGTCAACTGGCTCCCATGCCCACAGATACCTTGTACCTGGGTGGCCTCTGCATTCTATTTCCCAGAATCCTCAGTTCATCCCTTCCCCCCTCCACCCCCAACTATGTTCCTGCCTGCTCCAGGACACCTAGGAGACCTCTGGCTTTTCTGCCCAACCTCTGTGCCTTTAGTTCCATCCACTGTCTCAATTCAAACTCACACAAAGTCAAATGTGTTGACATATGACACAGAAGAACTGTGGCCTGTAAATATTCAAGTGGGCAGAGGAGGAAGGGCAGTTGTTTAGAGATTACACTGAAAATCAGGACTTGCTCTAGAAACTAGTACAGGAATAACAATGAAAACAGACATCTGCCAGGTGATGGTGGTGCACGCCTCTCAATCTCAGCACTTAGGAGACAGAGGCAGGTGAATCTCTGTGAGTTCGAGGCCAGCCTGGTCTACAGAAAGAGTTCCAGCACAGCTAGGACTGTTACACAGAGAAACCCTGTCTTTTCCAACTCACTGTAACTTGGGGGAGCTCAAGGAGTGCACTTTCCCAGCTTGTTTGTGTTTCTCAGTAGAAAACTCTTTTGAAAGTCACGAAAGTCATGAAATTTGCTCACCATTTCCCCCCAAAAGAACACACAGAAGAATTCAATCCAGTTGGATCGATTCCCATGAATTCTACTGATTTTAAAACTCAGTAAATTTGGGAGGTTCCTCAACCCCTTCAAAAGAAGTTCCAGATGTGTCAGGAACAGTGTGGGAGAATTATTTCTTGTTTTAATTTATTTATATTTTATGAGTATGGGTGTTTTGCTTGCATGTATATGCACAATGTGTGTGTCTTGTGCCCACACAGGCCAGAAGAAGGTCTCTGGATCTCAAGTATAGATGGTTGTGAGATGCCACGTAGGTGTTGGAGTTGTAACCTACTTTGTGGATGCTGGGAATTGAACCCAAGATCCTCTGTAAGAGTAACCAGTGCTTTTAACCTCTGAGCCATCTCTCTGGCCTTGGGTAAATTGTTTCTAACCCTTCTTGTTTGATTGAAAAACTAAGATAACTGAACATCCCCGATTAGAAACCAGTGACGGGACCCAGACTGCACGTTGTTCTGCTCTTCAAGGGCCTGTTTTTTCCAAGTACTCTGGGCTGAGCCTCTTTGCAATGTGCACAAAGAAATAGTTGCTGTAATTGCCAGGACACCAGTGTCTCCAGGCAAATGAAACACATTCATGTCCCTTTTCTCTGCCTAGTGAGCAGAAATAAAGGGTGCAATGGGACAATTTTTGCCAATCCTTGGGGCTACCATGGGAACCTGCGGTGGAATTCCCAGCAGTTCAGGGGCCAGCCTTGCCAAATTGAGAACATAAAGGTTTATAAGGCCTGACAAAGGAGATTTCCATCGCGTGATAATAGGAGACAAAGAAAGACTGCTCTAAGAGATGTATGATGTGACCTGGGAGCAGTTTTCTGTTTCAGGCCCTAGGCTGGTCAGGACCCACATCCAGTGCTGGACTCTGTCTTTAGCAGTACTTCTCTTTCCAAAACACCCTCCTGGCTATTATGCAGGGAGTGGGACCAGGGGTTCTTCCTCTCCTGCTTGCGTTAGGAAAGCCCCAAGCCAGGGCTTGTGCAACCAAGGCGGACATTTCTAAGATCCACTCCCTTAATCTCATTGAAATTCAGGAAGCTGTGTGCCTGCTCCTGGCTGCAGTGCAGTTTGGCTGAGCTTCTGTTCCACTTCTGAATAGTTCTTGCTGGAAGTCCATCACCCAGAGGCCAGCTCTCCCAACAACCGGACAGCAGCAGAGGTAAGCATGAAGACATTAAACTACAAAGTAAGTACATCCTTTGTAATCTCACGTTACCACTTTGTGTTCCCCCTCTGGTTGGGACTCATAAAGTTGCTGGTGGAAGTTGGAACATACTATATCTGAAGGCTCAGATGAATCCGGATGGGTTTGGGTGGTTTTACTCACTTTGAGAATTAAGTGCTTTTTCCTTTTTAAGCTCACGCCCCTAGTGTATGAGCATATTTCTTTGTGTAAGAAAGTGTTTACTTAAGCCGGACATGGTAGTGTTTACTTGTGCAGAAGTTTAGGGCCAGCCTGGGCCATAAAGTGTGATATTTTGTCTCAAAAGAGAATTTTTAGAGGAATTTCTTGAGAGTGACTTATTATGACTAGAGGTTTTTTTCCCTTGTCGAGACTGTCCATGATGGGTTTATTGCATAGGAGGGAATGTGGTCCAAGTCTGTCCATGAGTCTCAGCTCGGCTGAGTGTCACCCTCAGTAGTATGCCTGTTTCCAGTGCCATGACACGGGAGGGGCAGTTCAGGGAGGAACTGGGTTATGACCGGATGCCCACACTGGAGAGAGGCCGACAGGACACAGGACGGCAGGACACGGGCAGCTACGCACCTGACTCAAAGCCGAAGGACCTGCAGCTGTCGAAGAGGTTGCCCCCATGCCTCAGCTACAAGACATGGGTGTTCTCGGTGTTGATGGGGGTGAGTAGCTCAACACTGTTTCAGAGGACTTCAGGTGCTGGCCTTGTTCTGTAGAGTACGTGACCCCGTCGACTGGGAATCAATATGCCTCTGGTGGGCCAGGCAGGAACAGTTCCCATGTGGGTGGGGGGCCCCTAGAGTGCCAACATATTATTTTTGTTTGTGTTCTATTAGTTACTTTTCTCAATATCTGCCGGGGTGGGGGTGTTATGTCCCCAAACCACACTTACCCTGAGCCCACAGGTCACCCGTCAGGTAGCTGGCATGACCAATGGTCTGTGAAGGTTGGAAGCCATCTTCAGGGTAGCTCTGTGGAGTGAATGACAAGAGCTGTGGCCAAGGCTGGGGTCAGGACTATAGAGCAGGAAGAGCTACAGCAGCCATAAGGACTTTGGGGACTATGGGGGACCACAGAGAGGGTTGGGTATGGCTAGAGAGCAGATCTAAGCTAGCCCAGGGTAGGGCAGTGCCATGTGGGGCCCCAGGACGCTTGTACACAGTCTTGCAGATAACCCCAGGTGCTTAAAGTGTGCACAGTAGCTGAGGACCAAGCCACTGCATGCATCTCTCTATGACCCAGACATAGGCAAAATAAATATGGGAGGGTGTTGATTAATATGGGAACAGTTAAGTTGCACTCACAGGGCTGGGAACTGCCTTCTCAGGTGTCTCGTCATCAAACAGAGCCAGTTATAACATGAATCTATGCTGCTGTTTTGCAGAGCTGCCTTCTTGTGACTTCCGGATTTTCGCTCTACTTGGGGAATGTGTTCCCCTCTGAAATGGATTATTTGCGCTGCGCAGCAGGCTCTGTAAGCACACCCCTCAGCCACACCAGCACCCTAATTCTCCCGTTGTGGGTTTGAACCTCTGTGACCTGGGGTTTATAGGTTGCTGGTAACTATTTATGTGACTAGTTTTGTTTCTGGTAACTACTTGTGTGACTAGTTTCCTCTCTGGTAACTACTCGTGTGACTAGTTTCAGTAGTCTGACCCCTGTGTGGGAAACAGCACTTTTGAACCCGGTGTGTTGTGATGTCTTCCTGCTCCTATTGTCTTGGGTGCCACTATGGCATCCGCTCTTGGTAGTTAGGAGACTGCACCCCTGCTCCTACCAAATCCTGATGCCATGTTTCTAGAATCTCACCCATTGCCAAAGGATACTGTCCTCAAGGAGGGAAGGAGAGAGCCACTAACACCCCCAGACTCTGTGTCTCCTGCCTCCACAGTGTCTGGCTAGCTTAAGCACAGAGCACACTATCATCTGTGTGGTAGCTGGGCTCTGGGGACCTTCTCATGGTGTCTGTTAAGAGACTCCATGACCACAGAAACTCTTATAAAGGAAAACATTTAATTGGGATGACTCACAGTTTCAGAGGTTCAGCCCATTATCGTCATGGCAGGTGGTGTGCAGGCAGACATGGAGAAAGAGCTGAAAGTTCTACATCTTGATCCACGGGCAACAGGAAGTGAACTGTCTCTACACTGAGTGTAGCTTGAGCATAGGAGACCTCAAAGCCCACCCTCACAATGACATACTTTCTCCAAAAAGACCACACCTACTCCAACAAAAAACACACTTCCTGTTAGTTAGTGACACTCCCTTTGAGGGCCATTTTCTTTTAAATGTCCACACACCCTAAGGTCCTTCAAGGTCCTGGATCCCCAGGTTCACTCCTTATGCCTTTCCCTATTCAGCTGGTGACTGGCCAGCACAGGTCAAGGTTCCTGGGAGTCTTTTCTTCCCTAAACTCCCTGCTAGGATCCCCTACCCCTCCCACAGGACTACTCCCATCAGGGCCTGAGTTATCACGTGGGGCCCAGCAGTTAGGAGCATTTCTGCTCTTGCAGAAGACCAGGGTTCACTTTCCATCCCTGTAATGGCTCATAACCACCTGTAACTTTAGTTCTAGGGGAGCCAATGCCCTTTGCTCACTCTGTGAGCACCAGGCATACACGTGGTACACAAGGACACATGTAGGTAAAACACCCACACACATAATATACAATAAATAATTCTTTTTAAAAAAGAAGAAAATAAAGACTGCAGACACCAGTTTCTTTTAGCGCCACACCCCAGCCATGTGCACATGCTATCGTTGGCCTCTTTGCTCCTTTGAAAGAACGTGAACCCCTTCCTGCTGCTTCCTCTCTGGCTATGTTTACTGTGTACTCATCATGGGAGCAGGATCACTGTGTTTCTGACCAACACTGCTCCAGGGTGGCAATGATCCCTCAGTCTCAAAGGTGGGAAACACTCATGCCTGCTTTGTTACACCCCTGGCAGCTGTCTTCCCAGAAGCTGGGGTTTGATCGTTGGGTTACCTAAGTAGGTCCCAAGCCCTACCTCGGGCTCGACACAGGTTTCCTTTCCCTCCCATACCACCCACTATATGTGTTATGTAGACATCCCCATTGACCTCTGTCCCATGAGCCATATCCTTTTAGGTCCCATCTACTGTTCTAGGGGACTAGGGTCCCATTGCCCACATGATTGATGCCACGAGGCTTACCAGACCCAGATTGGTCCACCTCCAGCTCCCCTGACATTCTCACTAACCACCTCCCCTGGTTCTTGATCTGGCTTTGGAGTCACAGCAGGGTCAGACATGGCCTGGATGACAGCCACTGAGATAACGGGAACCCTAAGTACAAGGGGACACTTTTGTTTTGGCCACATAGTTACATTTCCCTTCTGGGTAATTGTTCAACAACACCAAGTTATAGTATGACTTCCACTAGATGCTTTTTAAATTAACTTTTGAAGTATAACATTTTTATAAATTCTTTGAGAATTTCATACACATGCATACAATGTATTTGAACCATATTCTTCTTCCACTCCTTCCCCTATTCTCTCAGATCTATCTCTGACCTCCCTACTCCCCCCAACTTCATTTCATTTTTCTTTTTAATAACCCACTGAGTCCAATTTGGGCTGAGTTAACCCACCAAGGGCCATGTCATTTAAAAAAAAAAAAAAGACCTGTCTTTCCCTTCCCCCACAGTCAGCAACTCCTCAGTTAGCGGTGGGGATTGGTGAGCCCCTTCCTCCTAAATACTGTTTTTAAATACAGTTACTTTGAAATATCAAGGGACTTTCAGGGTTGAGGGAGCTCCTTGTATCAAGTAGACTGACTCAGATCACTGTAGAGACTTAAAACACTGTAACACACCATTATCTTAATTATACTCTGAGCTGGAGTTAAAACCCAAAATCTGTAGCACCATCGGCAAGAGCCCTAGCTAACACTGAGCTACACCCAGCCTGCCACGCACTGTTTGAAGGTTGACACCATGACCAGGGCACAGGACTCAGGCGAACTCTTGGCTCACCCAGATTCTGGCTTCTTTTCAGTGCATCCCCTCGGCAATCGTGAGCTTCGCTGTGGGGAGGAGAAACGTCAGCGCGGTAAGCAGGCTTTGTACTTATTGTTTTAAAAAATTATTTAATTAATGCATATATGTGTGCCTTCATGAATTCATGTGTACTGTGTGTATCCAAGTACTTGTGGAGGCCAGAGGGTGTCAGATCCCCTGCAAGTGGAGTTCTAGGTGGTTGAAGGCACCTGAGGTGGGTGCTGGGAATCAAATCCAGGTCTGATTCCTTGGTAAAAATGGTAAGCACATCTCTGCAGCCCCGCACTGGATTTAAGCTGCCGGTGAAGCCTCCCCTGCAGACTTGGAGAGCCCACAGCGCTGAGCTGTGGAAAGCAGATGTCCTCTTGATTTCGTTAGTATTTCTAAAGAAGGAAATGCCTCCTGCTCTGTTTTCCAGATTCCCAACTTCCAGATCTTGTTTGTCTCCACGTTCGCCGTTACCACCACATGTCTGATCTGGTTTGGGTGTAAACTGATCCTGAATCCCTCAGCCATAAACGTGAGTCACTGGAAGGGGATTGGGTCACATGGATTTATGTTTTGACCCGAATCATGTCTTCCCACTGATATCGAATGCTGCTCCCACTGAGCAGGGGCAAGCTCTGGTTAGAGAGTCACTGTAAGCTGCCTGTGCTGGTGGGTGTTGAGGATTTTTGCCTATGCTTCTGAAGGAAGGAATCATCTCTATTGAATTCTGAGTTTCTTCCATTGGACAAATCTATTGAAAAATTATATTTTAGGGTCTAATTCCCAACAGCAACAGGCTTGGGATGCAGCTCGGGGGCAGAGCATGTGCTTCTAGAATGTGCACGTTTTAGTCCATTACCACACATGCTAGAAAAGACAGTAACTTACTAATGTATCTTATCCAATCTATGATACTCCTGTTTATGAGGCATTCTGCTATCTTTTGTACTACTGAGAAAAGTGGGAAAAGATTACATAAAATGTAACATTCTATGAGAAAAAAAACTCACCAGAATTAAGGATGCTCTATCTATTCTTGTGAGAACATACAAGAGTTCAAGGACCACCCAGACTGCTGTGTATAGAAGAAATGCAGCCGACGGAACACTGTGATTATTAAGTGCATGTGGCAAGTTGCTGGATATGAACAATAAATATAAAAATTTAATTGTGCCACAAAATTGAAAATATTCTCTAAACACAGATGCTTTATAGAATTAAATGTGTAGAACTGGTTATGCTAACTCTTCCTATTATTCCCAGCACTTAGGAGATGGAAGGAGGAAGATCAGAGAAGTTTAGGGTCAACCTTGGCTATATAGTTAAGTTTGAAAACAGTCTGGGCTATATGAGACCATGTTTCAAGAAACAAACAAAAAAACAAAAACAAAACCCTAACCAACCAAACAAAACATATAAAGTTCCTGAGAATATGCCTAACAAGAAATTATAAACTGTGGCAATTACCTTTTTATAATTATTTTATGTTTACCTGCATGTCTGTCTGTGCACTGCGTATGTGCCTGGTACCAATGGAGGCCAGGAGAAGGTGGATGCCAGGTACACACCCCAGACAAATGGAGGGTGAGCCCATGAGACAATGCAGGGCACAGTGAGAGGCCCCTCTCCAAAGTCTGCATAGGGCCTGGTTCAGGGGAGAACAAAGAAGGAGAAGGATCCCTCAAGGACAGGTGGGGACACGTCCTCCCACAGCCAAAGTACTGGAGAAGGGTAAGCTGGGTGTGGGTTACAGGAACTATTGTAGCCGGTCAGACCAGAGTCACATCGTACTGGGGCGTCAGGCTATGATATAAGTTACAGCAAGTACTGAATCAAATTATCCAGATAGACCCCTTACCTCTTACCTGCCACGTAGATGAAGACTTGAGTTGTGTGGGTGCAGCTAGGAGAGACTGCTCTCTCCCAAGCATGGGAGCACCCTTGACAGAGGATACCTTCGACACACTAGGATCCCCAAGAGAAATTGGTGCCCAAGGAGGAGGAAATCACAGAGCAAAGTAACTCGGCACATGCCGAGAGTCTCTCTGATGACAGCAGCAGGCCCTTCAGAGAACTATTTGGTACTTGTATGTATTTTCTTAAAATGAAGACATTGCACCATCCCAAGTGGAAGCCTTGGAGAAACACTGGTACACCATGGATAAGAAGCATGCATGAGGGGCTAGAGCTCTGGCAAGAGACCAGCAGTCCCAACCTCACCTGATGTTTACATCTGCAAGACTTCAGTCCCACCTGCGCTAGAGGTCAGACTCCATAAGTAACTAGGCCCTCCACAGCCCCGACCACCTTGAGACCTGATGGTTATTGAGCTCCCCGGGGTAGGAGGAACCTGAGGAGCACAGTATTTGTCCCAGTCCTGCTCAGAAACTATGCCTCCTTCAAGGACATCCATGTGAATGGGACATTCAGGAGCATGCCTCCACCTGTGTAGGCTGCGCCACACTGCAGACCCTTCCTCAGATCCTCTGGGCTCTGCTAAGTGCTGGGAAACCTTTGGGGTCCCTACGCTGCTATTACCTGTGGTAGGACTCAGCCGTTCCTGCTCTCTACCCATCTCCTCGTGGGTTGGTGTCACGGCTAATCTTGTCAACTTGAGCACATCTGGAACCAACCAGAACCCAAGCAGCTGGGGACAGCTGTGAAGGGTTTGTCTTGATTGTATCTTTTGAGGTAGGAAGACCTCTAAATCTGGGCCATACCTTCTGGTAGCAGCCCACATAAAAGACATGGAATAAAGCAGCTCTTGCTTTTGGCCTGCTTGTCCTCGCTGGTGCTGGTGAGTTCATCTGTCCCATGACCGAGGCGTTCCTTTGCTCTTATTAGAACCTACTTTCAGGGGATTCCAACACAGACCGGAGGCCGGCAGCTCTCTAGGATCCCAGCACCAGACCGAACTAGTTCATATTCATATGACTTTTCCAAAAGACATGAGAAGAGTCATCTATTTACCCCAAATAGAAACAGTTTTACTGACCCAAGAACCATGCCTTGACCCGAGTTACTCCATTTTTAATGGAGGTGCCAAGAAAGAATGACTCAATCTACATCTTGTTTATACAAATTAAGAAAAAACATTTGCCAAGATGTTTATGTTAAATGGTAAATGACACCTGGGATAAATCGGAAACACCAGGCAGATGAGCTTTTCACCTACTAGATGGAACCCCTCACTTTGACTATAAAAGAAGGAGCATCCCCAGACGGAAGTGTGGCAGGCACAGTGACCAGTCACTTAGAAACTTGTCATGAGATTCACCAAGACTCCCTCACTGCCCTCATCCCTATGTTTCGATCTAGCATAATATCTTCTTGTTCTAATCACACCAACCCACTTCAAACTGACCCTTGACCCTTGAAACTGACCCACTTCCAAACCCTCCCCGACCTGCTTTTGACATCCTTTGCCGGAGCAGCTTGTCCAGTCCCTTAGAGACTTCTCACACCTGTGTCAACTCTGCCCCTGACTTCAGAACTTCAGCTTCTCCAACTTCTCCTATTGACAAGTATGGTAATACACTCGGTTGCAGGTTTTTTACCTCAGCTCAGTGCTATTTGGTTCTCCTTGCCCCTGAAGATCTGGGGGATGGGGGTTAAGTGTCTACCAGTACCCTCTAGCCTGGCCTCAGGGACGGCTGGACCTATTTTTTTCTCTGGCTTTGTCCTCACTGGTCTGGCAGGGCTGGGTCTACAAGGCAGGTGGTCTCAGTTGTAACCACTCTGCTTGGAGCTCCCTGGGGAAGCTGCAGTCCCCGAGATGATCTAGTCTAACCGTCACAGGCTCCTCTTGTCCGAGAACTCACTTTCGTGAATTATCTGTCACTGAAGTGAGTGTCCTGGCTGTTAGTTGTCAGGATCCCAAGGAAGCAGGCACTTGGAATTGTTTTAAAATACCATCCACATATAATTATTCCTGATATCGTTATGTTACAACACGAATGCATAGTCCAAGTGCGTTGATTCTTTGACATTTACCAAGGCTCCCCATGTGGAAAAACAGATTTCTCTTAGTGTTCCATGGTAGTTATAAAAGAATGAACGGTTTGTTTTATTTACACAGAGAATTGCATTTGTTTTTTAAATGTTGACTTTCTAACTGTCTAGACATGGTGAAGACAGTGGTTCAGGAGACATTGGCATTGAAAAGAGAGTTACTGCTCACAGATTCCAGTGGAGGGGACACCCACACCATCAGAGCCACCAGGGGAGCAGCAGGGCAGTGTACAAGCAGAGGCAGTGACAGGGAAATAGGCAAGCATTTCCATTGTGGCCACCACAGAAAAGGACAGGTCAGACGGGAGAGACAGATGACCCTCCAGCTTGAATAGCTTCCAAAAGCGCTGGACTCTAGGCCATCCCTAGTTGCCTGGATCCTGCCCTGGGGTGACAGGCAGATAGATAGTAACCAAGTTAGGGGCCATACGGGGTTGGAGGGTTGTGTACACTGTTTTTTTTTTTTTGGCAACTCTAGTGATTACCCATCCCTAGGAAGATCAAGGCTGTCCAGGGTCAGCCAAGCATCAGAACACAAAAAATAAAATGTACTTAACATAGCACCTTTCTGGTTTTAAGTGTGTGTGTGTGTGTGTGTGTGTGTGTGTTGCTTGTTTTTGGTGAGACATGGTCTTACTATATAACTCTGGTTGACCTGGAACTTGATTTGTAGACCAGGCTGGCTGTGAACTCACAGAGTTCTGCCTGTCTCTGCCTCCCAAGCACAGGAATAAGGTGTGTGTTATCATGCCCTGCCAGATAAGAGTTTGTATGTGTTTGTGCTTTGGATCAGTTTCTGAGAAAAGTAAGTTAAATTCTTTACCTGCAGTTGTTGGTTTATCTATTTCTCCCCTAAAGTCTGTCATTACTTTGTATATTTGATGTTCTGTTAGTCAAATATTACTGTATAGTCTTTCCCTTACAAATTTACTTTCAAATACATATAGTACACAACTATCATCCCACAACTTGGGAGGCTGCGAGAGGAGGACTGTGAATTCCAGGCTAGCCTACTACCTACAGAGTGAGTTCAAGTTCAACCTGAGCAACTTGGTGAGACTCTTTCAAAAGAGGGGCTATGGTATAGTCAGTGGTAGAGTACTTATTTAGCATGTAAGGGATCTCAAGTCCATCTCCTAGTACTGCATAGTGAGTGTGTCCATATCAGTTAAGTATTTTTATTTATTATTTATTTATGTAGGGCCAAGGCACAACTTCCAGTCCTTGTGATGATAGGCTTGTGCTCTGCAAGTGTGAACATTTATGTAACTGCTGACACAGTTGGCCTCAACGTGGTTCTGCCAGCCTTTGAGCCTTGTATTTGCAGTTTCTAGAAACTGCACATGGAGCTGAGCATACTATGAGAACTGTGCTAATGTTTTCTGTGTGCTTAGAAGAGCGTGGGAGCTTAGAGTAGGGTGGGAAATACAGTTTAAGGGCTTTGACATGAGGCAGTTATGCTCCAAAAGGAATAAAATGTAGTTTATCGTGAGCAAGATAGAAGTAACCAAAGCCCAGGAACACAAACTCAGGCTACCTTGAATGACGGTCTACTGTGGAAGAGGTTATATGAACCATTATAGACCCACAACAAATGGAAGTCCTAAGGCAGTGCATTTACCAGGAAGGCAAGCAGTGGATAGTGGGGAGTCACTTTTATACCTTGCAGATGTTATGACATGTTTAGCTTGATGGTATTGGAAGCTAGAGGTCTTTTACATACACATTCCAATGTTTTCCCTAGGAGTCACAAAGATGTTAGGCCAGATACAGATACTGATTGTGAGGGGCTGTTCAGGGACTAAAGACAGGCCCAGGTGATTGGGCTCTTTATCGGCCATATTTCAGTTCTCCACAACTACGAGGTTCTAGTTATTCAATCAGTATGGGAGATTTCAGCCCAGGTGAGACTTCTATAGAGAACTTTGGCCTCCAGGTCCAGTGGCCTATGTCAAGTCTTTGCATAGCCATTCACTAAGGGTAGCTTTAAAAACAAGAACCTGGGGCCAGTGGTGTGGCTTAGCAGATACAGATGCTTGCTGTCAAGCCTGACAACCTGAGTTCAATCCCCAGGACCTACAGGTGGAAGAAAATGACTGACTGCTGCAAGTTGTCCTCTGACCTCCACATGCATGCTGTGACTGATGCCCCCACCCCCAGTGAATAGGTGTAATTAAAAAATTTAAATATCAAGAAGTTTAACAGTGGGAGAGAGAGAGAGAGAGAGAGAGAGAGAGAGAGAGAGATTGAAAGAGAAAAAAAAATCAAACTAAAAACAAGACCCACACAAAAGAGAGGCAGTTTGTCGCCCATGGCTTGCTCAGGCCTAGGAGAAGGAAAGGAGAGCGGGGTTAGCCAGCCGAAGGAGGATGGTAGCTTTCTGGGGGAAGGACTGGTATGGCTGAGGCGCATGTTCCCTTTGCAGATCAATTTCAACCTCATCCTGCTCTTGCTGTTGGAGCTCCTCATGGCAGCCACAGTGATCATCTCGGCCCGGTCCAGTGAGGAGTCCTGCAAGAAGAAGAAGGTGGGTCTCCCACAGCTACCTCCTTATGTCCCTGAGCTGGGCCTGGCTGCGGGAGGCCACGAGTGTGAGGGCACAGGTATGGGTTGGGGAGCTGCTGGCTGAGCCTGGGGGCGATGGTACAGCCCCACTGCCTTCCCAGTGTCCTTCCCCTCCAGTACTGTCTTCAGGACTGTCACTGGATGACCAGTTCTGCAAGAATGGTGTGGTAAGCTGCAGTGATTGGACACGTCCGCATGCAAGCGGAAATGTCTATACTTGCATTGTTCCTCCGGACTGAAGGGCGCAGACCCTGAGGCTTTTAGAAGTATAAGTCTGTCCATGCATTCTATGGCTCCACAAGGCTTTCCTTCTTCCTAGGGTTCCATCTCGGATGGCGCCAACATTCTGGATGAAGTGGCTTTTCCTGCTCGGGTCTTAAAATCCTACTCTGTAAGAAAAACCCCTTCCTCTTCTTTCTCTTATGTTGACCTAGGGCTTGGCTATGTAACCTAGTTTGCACTGAGCTACCGACCCTCCTGACTCAGCCTTCCGTGTGGTGGATATAGCATGGGCACCTCTGTCACTGTGCGGGGCTGGTGCTCCTAATGAGGCAACTCCATGTTCATCCCCCTCAGGCTGAGCTCTGCCTGTGAGCCTCACTGTGGCTCAGGTAGCAGCTCCCGCCACCATCCACCTCCTTGGCCTTGTCCATCCACCTCCTTGGCCTTGTCTAGTGGTCTCTCCATGGTCAATGTGAACAGGCCAAAGAAGGGTACCTACTGAGCCCATGGCCTCTTTTGGGGAGGTCTGTATCTATACACTGCATTCGGGGACTTCCAGAGTGTCTCTTATCTCACCACAGGGGCAGACCATTGGCGTGGTGGCCTAGCAAGGTGACTGTGTCATTTTTCCCCCCTAGGTGGTAGAAGTAATTGCTGGTGTCTCCGCAGTCCTTGGTGGAGTGATCGCTCTAAATGTAGATGAAGCTGTTTCGGGCCCACATCTCTCAGTGACATTCTTTTGGATTTTAGTGGCTGTGAGTACTTCCTGGATGGTCACCTTGTCTATGTATATAGCTAACTAGACATGGTTATTGCCAGTTTTGAGCTTCCCTCCTTAGACCCTACATAGCTGGATTTTTTTTAGCACTGTGTTGGTAAAATTCACACAAGAGAGCACACAGGACAGTCTCCCTCCCCACAAAGAATCTGGGAACCAAGGATTAAGTGTATTTCCATAAAAATTATCTTAACTGCTGCCATTATATTACTTTCATATTTTTCTAAGAAATCCATTATATTAAATGCTGCTATGGTAAACATTTAGCACAGGTCTAGCATATGGGAATGTGTGACACTCGGCCACTCCTTTAAACACAATCCTTTTGTCATTTTAAAACATCCCAAGTCTACCTGTGTGATTTATTGTCAAGAGTCTTAACAGTCTGTTGGGTTCAGACGCAGCCAAAGTTTGTTTGAGCTCATGATGCGCCCCAGAACAGTCAGCCTAAAGCGACTCCTCCACACTCAGTATTTCTGCACATCTCAGATGGATGCTGAAACCATACCCATTGTGGCTTGTGTTTCCCGATGTCATTTTACACCATGCCATTGTAACTTGCCATTGGCTCCTGGAATGGGAGGTGGGGCGGAAGCCTATCCTTGGGGTTCACATGGCTGAATGCAAGAGCCTTACCCCTGCTTGTTGGCCTGCTTGTTCCATTGCTTCCTGACTGGTGGCTTTGTATCCTGCTCCTGCTGTAGCCAGAGGGCACTTTTGGAAAGGCCACCCTCAAAAGAGACACATTGCGCCAGGCACGCACGTGCAGCCACCTCGGCCTTGGCAGAGGCTGTCTCCACTCACCTTTTCTCTAAGGCCTTGACAAGAGCAGACCCCTTCTTGGTTTATCTAGGCTCAGGTATCCTGGGGCCAGTGCTGTTATCCTGGGGCATGGGTATTTCCTTTACAGTTGTTTGTATGGATAAGAACCTTTGAGCTGGGAGACAGTTCAGGAGCCCCTCAGGCTGTTTAGGGTCCTTGGAACTCCTGGGGCCATGGCCCAGACAGATGGCCAAAGGGCTCCTCAGCTCCCTGCCACCTCCACGGTCCTTGTTTGTCTGGAGTTTGGAAAAGACATTTTGCTATCCAAAGGAAGAGGCCCACACTGTCCCCAGCCCAGGATAGGCAGACCTTCCTGCCTCATCTTGAAGAGGTACCCACCTAACCCAACAAAGGCTTGTGTGCAGCTCAGGGTCCGTGTCTCAGAAAACTCTGCCAACGTGCCAGAGGTTAAGGGACATCCCCGTGAATAGAGACTAACTAGGGGGCACAAAGAGGAGGCCCACCCTAGCTTCAGTCCTAGATCACAAAGCAGATTCCTCTTCATTTTGCTTTTGGGCCCACCGGACAGTGCTGCAGATAGATCCACATTTGCGTATGTTGCACTGCGCTGCGCAAGTGTGTAGCATATAGTCAGATGACCACACTGGAAGCAGAGCACAGGGATGACAGATGTCAGCAAGGTCATCCCAGTGACTTGACATGTCACTCTGCCATTCTTGCAGCTTCTCTACTTTGAGTCTTAAATGTTTATAAGCAAACAGTTGAGGAACAAAAAAAAAAAAAAAAAATACCAAACCTGTGCCTTTTGTGGCTGTGGCTTCCCTGAGCCGAGGCCACTTGTGGCAGCCCTGGCCTTCCTTCTACCAGACAGAGGGCGCATGTCATCAGAGAGGAGTACAGGCTAGGAGATGACTTCCTGGACACCCATCTCTAAGATGTTCTCTTCTTTCCCCAGTGTTTTCCAAGTGCCATTGCCAGCCACGTGACAGCAGAGTGTCCCAGCAAATGTCTGGTAGGTGAGGCCCAGCCCTTCTATGGTGGCATGGGTCACACTCTGGGTGTGGCTGAACAGGAGTTGAGAAGGAGAGGCCCTCAGAGGCCAGTGGGAGGGCCAGGGCAGGCACCACTGCCATGAGAGGATCCACAACTGTCTTGGGGCTCCAGGGGCCCAGCTACCCTATCTCTGAAAACAAAACATAAGCACTTCATGTTTGGAAGCCAGAAAGTCCTGTTGCTGAGGAAGGATGAAGGAAGAGACCACTCTAGCTTTGTCCCACCTCCTGTGGGAGCCGGTTAGATGTTAGCAACCACTGGTCTTTGGGCCTAACTGTTCTGAGAACGAGTATCCATGCTGGGTTGTGTGGACCTAATGCACGGGGGAGTTTAGAACAGGGCTTAGAAGAGTGGGAGAAACGGATAGCACACAAGAGCTGAATTTTCATCAGATTAGATGGTCACATGTGAAATTCAAAACCTCACATGTCACACACAGCACTGAGTGAATGAGTAGAGTTTGTCCAAGGCCACACAGTGGTCCAGCCTCACAAATTCCCAGGCAGGTAAGCGCTGGCCACACCTACTGCCCAACCTCCTCTGTTGTGTCTGCCAGGTGGAGGTGCTGATTGCCATCAGCAGCCTGACATCCCCACTGCTGTTCACTGCCTCCGGATATCTGTCCTTCAGCGTAATGAGAATCGTTGAGATTTTTAAAGATTACCCACCAGCCATCAAAGTATGTATCCATTCTGTTTTGAGACTCTTTGTTAACAAAGTCTGGGGAGGTGGCTCTGGGGCATCCACTGTTTTCCTGACAGTGGCCAGGACAAATGGGCATCAGCCTGAACAAAGTGGCCTTGCCCAGTTTGCTCTGGGTGGGGTGGGTTGTGTGCGGATGGGGTAGGGTCTGATTTGCTTTCTCCATGTTGGTTCTATGCCCATGGGCTCAGAATCTGCTTCTATGTGCTCTCCCTGCTTCCGGTCCCTTCTGAGCCCTTTCACTGAACAGAGCTGGAAAGAATTGTATGTTTACAAATAGGCTTTTGTATTGTTTCCAATTCAAGTTGAACAATCTCCTTTATTCTTCCTGATGTTCTTCTTATTTTATTTTTTAAAAGAAAACAAACCATCTTTTTTCATTTTACATACCAATCCCAGTTCCCACTCCCTCCCCTCCTCCCATTACTTCCTGAAATTCTTTTACTTGATGTTCTGTAGACCAGGCTGGCCTCCTCAAACTCACAGAGATCCTCCAGCCTCTGCCTCCCGAGAGCCAGGATTAAAGGCGTGCACCACCACAACCTCCTCTGGGGATCATTTTTTTAAAACCCAATAATTTACCCTAGTGTTTGGTAAACACCCAGAGGAATCTTCTGTACCCTTTCATTAATCTGTTCAAATATTGCCCCACTGACCTGAGAAGTCCCTGGTGATGGGAACTGGGTTACTTCCACCACCTGCTGTAATGAATAGCTCCTGGTGACCAGCCTTTATACACATTTCGTATGAATCTGAGGATGAGCACCTGGGAGAGGGACTATACAAACAACAGATGATTCTGGACTCCTAAGTCCTCACTAGACGACTTTCTAGCACGAGTTTTGCAGACCACAGCAAAGCCATGGACAACAAATCTGATCTTAAGATGCTTCTCTTGTTGAAGCCACGTTTGTATAACACCCCTTGTTTCCACCAATCCTTTCACGCACTTTCTCACAGGCTATGCTCCTGCCTGCAAGGTCCTCTCTTTATATCCCAGCGCCTGCTCCAACCTGTCACTTCGTACCGGGACTGCCCTGTGCTAACGGGAGAGGTTGTAAACCTGCCTCCTTCTCCTCCAGACAGGAGAGCTCCTCTCTGTGCAACACACATAGCTTTTGCTCTTATGCATGCATTTATATTTTAATTTTTGAGACAAGGTCTTGTTGTATAGTCCAGTCCATCCTTGAATTTGAGAGCCTCCTGCCTGGGCCTCCTGAGTGCTGGGATCCTGGGCTCACAGCATCATGTCTGTCGGCACTATGTCCTTTATGTGTTAACATTTAGTTGCTCTGTGTTTTTGTGGACTGGTGGAAGGCATCCATCTGGTTGCTTTGTGGATATTTCTGAAGCACTCCTTGCTGTGTGAAGTGCATTTTATTGCCTCTGGTCCCTGGGCTCCCAGGACAAGGACTCTTGCCCTGTCTTCTTGTTCTCCCTTATTGCCTCCCCCGCACCAGCAGCTGGTGTTCAGGTTTCTTTGCTGGCAGGTTTGGGCCCATGACTTCCCTTCAGCCAAAGGCCCTTCAGAGCCAATTGTACCAATCTCAGGATTGTATTTCTTGCAGATATATAGTGGAAATTTTTGATTTCTCTTGCCCTTTGCACACCCTCAGCACGAGCCTCGAGAGCCTCACATGAGGCTCTTTAGCCTCCCTATGGTTGTTGGATCTGAGGGGTGGAAGAAACACAACCTGGGTCCTTTTTATGCTTACTTGTTAACTGCAAGCTAGCAGAATTGGTTGAACTGGAATGTTCTGATTCAGATTACTGAAACAAGAAAGCATGTTTGGGTTTCTAGGGCTCGGTGGTCAAGGGGGGAGTGTTCTGACTGCATGGAAGCCTTAGACGAGGTGGAGAATTTGCAGAGTCTGCTTGTGGATCTGCTCACATCCCGGTCTTTCATCCTAGTCTTACGATGTGCTCCTCCTGCTGTTGCTGCTAGTGCTGCTGCTCCAGGGGGGCCTCAACACTGGCACAGCCATCCAGTGTGTGAGCTTCAAGGTCAGCGCCCGGCTACAGGCTGCATCCTGGGACACCCAGACCTGTCCCCAGGAGCGCCCAGCAGGGGAGGTGAGTGGCCTGCCTCGCAGGATACCTATCCTGGGTCCTCAGAGGGACCCTCCACTGATGTCCTTCAATATTTGTTGTGGCATTTTGGTTTTTTTTTTCTTATTTTCAGTTTTAAATACCCAAGAGAAATCTTGGAGAAATAAAGCTCGAACTAGGTTATTTTTTTAAATGACTAAATGAGTATCAATCCATTCATGAAAAAATACCATGGCCATAGTGCTTTAAGTTCTGCTCTTACAGACACGGAAAAGCCTTCCAAAGACTTCTGCAGAAGGTGCCAGGCTCCATGCTGTGCAGAGGAGGCTGCCCCTGCCTGGCATGTGGGGCTCCCTACAGCTGAACATTCCTACTCTGTGGCCAGTGGGCTGGGAGTGGTCAGTCCACAGTTACCTGGACAATACTCTTCCCGCCCCCACCCCCTCCTATGTCCTGATGCTCCCACAACTGAGGTTGGGTCTGCTAATGTCTCCCTAAGCCATCTGACCCTGCAGTATCTTCCTGGACAAACTTGCCCACTGCCATCAAGGAAGTGACCACAAAGTACCTGGCTGTTTAATGCCCAAGGAGATGTCCAGGCAGGTCCTGCCTGGCAGGTCTTTCTTTGTCTTAGGCCAAATGAAGTCCACCTTGGTCTGTGTCCTGACCAACAGGCCACAGAGCCAGATGAATAAATTGTTCTTGCCAGATTCTAGAACTGTCCATCTACGGAGGTCTGAATAAGTGGGCAAGCTAGAGTTACCCTATCTCATGCTGGAGGCGTGTCTCTGCCTCAGTTGTCCACTTCTTTTGCTGCCGGGTACACCCCCATCTTAAAGCCTCCCCCACTGGACACCTACAGAACTGTGGGAGGGTGTGCGGGCATTTCTAAGATGCGTTGTCCCTATTCTAGCGCCATCTCCCCTCAGATTGCACATGCAAAGAAGCTTGCATACAAGAACACAAGACACTGCCCAGGCTGAGCTGAATCTGCCTTCCCTCCAGGTCTGGCCCTGATGAGGTAACACTATCCTTGTCTCTCATCACAGGTGGACAGAAGCCCCCTGAAGGAGTTTGACAAAGAGAAAGCCTGGAGAGCTGTGGTGGTACAAATGGCCCAGTGACTACAGGACGAGAAGACCGAGTCTCGGCGTCTGTCTGGCCTCCGGCATGGTCAACCGTACAGACTCTGTCCTGCAACCGCTGCTTTCTAACACACGCTTTCGCTCCTGTGCAGCAGCCAGGCTGCAAGGCGGTTCTCACTTCCTGTAGTAGTTTAACTTTGGAGCAGGCAAGCGTTGAAGGTTGCGCCCTGTCAAGTGGGTCATTCTGTGCTTCTCAGATGACCCAGCTGGCCTGGGCAAACCCTTGTTTTCCAGCCCTCTTCACTTCCTGATTTGATCCTCACTCACTCATGGGAGCTGATGTTTTGGCCTTAGGGCACTTCCATGCCTCTGCATGCTCGCCATAGTGTGGGGATAGTTTGATTGTGAGAATTGCATTGGCTTTGATTAAAACCATGGCCAAGAGATGGTGTGTATGCCACCTCCCGAAACGCCAGAGGACACTTGGATTCTCTTAGCTGGCAAGAGCACCAGGGAATCCACAGTAGGTTGGGTGGGTGCCTTGTGAAACCGGGAACCTTTCAGGAATGTTTTCACTGAATCGGTTTGGTTCCTCCTCTGGGGGGTGAGCCACAGTATTCCTTTCCTGAGCTGGGGTGTATCAGTGGGTTCTAAGGAAGCTATTGAAAAGACCAGAGGTGCATTTTGTGCCCCCGAAGAGCTGCCAGGGTCAGAGAGGTAATAAGAAGCCTCCTAGGCTTCTCACTTCTAAATGCCCTGACTCTGACTTCCTGGAGTCATGAAAAGTGCAGTAGGTTGTTTTCAGTCCAACGGAAATGCAAGTGAGGCACCTGGAGGGTGGAAAGTACCCAGTAAAGCAGCTCCATCTCCAGCCTCGGAGTCCCCGTTCTATCTTCATCCTCTGTGGCCCCAGAGGGCTGGACCCTGCACCAATAAGTACCATGAGAGGTCATGCTTGCCTGCATATTGCAGAGCCCTGTAGGCTTTGGACCTACTGCAGCTCTGCCACACGATATTGGGTGGCGAGGGAGCCATGGGCAAGCTGGGATGGCAAGCCATCTGCTAGGAGACGAAGAGAGAGACTCGAATGTTCAGGACCAGAATGAGGCAGCGGGGGATTGCTGCGGACTTGCACTTTCTCATTTTAGAGAGCTTAAAAAAACCAACTCATATAAATGGGGCCTAAAAATTGTCTCTTGTATACTTTTGTTTGGTAGAGTTTAATATGCTTGGATGCTTGGGCAATAAATGCTAACATGCAAATGTGTTCATAGCCTGTTAAATGTTTCTGAAAAGAAAGAAAACAAACCAAAACAAACAAAAAAACCAGGGGTGAGAAATAGGACCCTAGAATGGAATGCCATTTTTAATTTATTCTTTGATTTGTATGATAAAAGCTGGGCTACCCGTCAGGGAGAAGCCTCCTCCACCTGGGAAATAAAGATGCTTTTGATCCAGTGGTTCTCAACCTTCCTAATGCTACCTAATATCACCCCGCCCATAAAATTATTTCACTGCTACCTCATAACTGTAATTTTGCCACTGTTATGACTCCTAATGTAAATATCTGATATACAGAATATGTGATATGTGACCCCTGCAAGGGGGTCATGACCCACAGGTTGAGAACCACTGCTTTAAGCCAAACGAAAACGATCTGAAGTTTGGGCTTTAAAATAATGATGACTCTGTGGATGGGTGGGCCTTCCTCACCACTGCCCAAAGTGCCACATAGGAAGGCAGCCTGGAGCACCAAGGACACAGCATTGGTACCCCACTAATGAGCCAAGGTACCAAGGCCCCTCTATGTTCCTCTGGGCACAGAGGACTTCTTTGGCCACCCTGATCTCGAGGAGACAAACAGACTGGGAGAACACGCGCCTGGAAGGACCGTGGGACTCTGTCTCCACCTCGGGCATCTTATGGACAGTAAGGGAGCCAGGAGGGAGGAAGTCCAGGGTGGGGCAGGGTGTGACCCCCTGGTCTTTGTGACTTGGTGCAGTCTGTAGTCTGAGTGCCAGGTTGTCTGTGTGACCCTGACAGGTGCGTGGGACATGTGGAGCAGGAGCTCATGACCCTGGCGTGGGTAGAAGGCACTTGAGAGGTAACCCTGACTCATGGCCCGCCCCCGTACCCGCTCCGGCACTGGCCACTCCCTGGAACGCGGCATGGGACTAGATCCAGAACCAAAGCTCAGTAAAAGCTCCAGCCACTGTGTCCGGACTCTGTCTGCTCCTCGGGTATCGACTGCTCACCGCAGCCGGCGGCCTCCCCTCCTGCGCAGCTGTCCGTATGCCTCACCTCCTGCGCGTCCACGAAGCCCCACACCCCGAGTGGGGCGCCGCTCAGCATGCCTCAAACGCGGCCACCAGCGCCACCGGTCTGCACAATGTGCCGCGCAGCCAAGGCCCGTTGCCAGGGGCGACCACAGGACGCCCAGCCGCGACGCTCGTGGCTGGGGCAGAGCAGCACGCGCTTCAGGGCGGGTCCCAAGTGAGCAGTTTTCCCTCCGACACGCCAGGCCTGTCCTCGCTGGCGCCCAGGTCCCCCTCCCATCCCGCGTTCCGAACCCCGCCCCGCCCCCTTCCGATTGGAACCCCAGACCTCGCTCCTTAGAACCGCAGAACTTTTCCAGCCTTACTCTGACACCTGTCCACTTTCACCCCACCCCGCCTTTCCAACCTTCTTCCCTCACCTTCCCACCTTCCTCCAAACTCCATAACTGCCTCTCATCCCTGACCCTAAACCTGTATCCCAGTTTTTGACCTGTCTACCTACCTTGACCTCCCCTTTTGAGCTCCGGACCCGTATTCCACCCCTGACTCATTCTCTCACTCGGAGGCCCCTAACTCTGCTCTCAACTTATCTTTTCAACCTCAGACTTACTTCCTTGATCCTTAACTGTCCTCCTACTCTAACTTACCCACCTCACCCTCAAACCATCCCCCCACTGGCCCTTTCTTCTCATCTGACTTCTAACCCCCAAACCTCCTGCTCATGACATGTCCCATTACCCCAGACCTCCTCTCCAGACCTCCTTTCCACATCTTGGGTCTCAGAACCCCACCCTTGCTTTCCTGGGTATGTCTGACCTCTCCACCCTTGTCTACAGGGGCTGGGGGCCAAAGGAACCAGCAACGCGAGGCTAGCATGGAAAATGGCGAAAGGAAGAAGCTGTCTTCCACTTCACCGGATGAAGATCACAAAGAAGAAAATAGTCCGTACCGTTTGTGTTCCACGTTTGCAGTCAGTCTTACTCAAAGGAGCAGGCATGGGGGTTTGGGGAATAGAGGACGAAGCCCAGATTTTGCAGCCCACCCCGGGGTCCTGGAGCTTTTGAGGACTGTGTAAATCAGTTTATGTTGGTCCTGGGAAACTTCTGGGGGTAGAAGGGAGAGCCCTTTATCCAAGCAGATTCCTGCGCTTGCCCTTCAGACATGGTTCACGTTCGTTGGTGAACACCTAAATACCTATAAGTAAAATCAAGTGTCATAGATGGGTACACATTTAGTTTTAGAAGATATAGTTCAGGCTTACCAGCTGGGGTACTCCCCATCTGCCACACAGCTGGTATTGGCCTTGTCATTTGGACCATTCTGTGAGTGTTACCAGTCTTTCTCTTATGGCCATGATGGTGGAATGTTTGCTTCAGATCTTGGCCTTTACTGATAGTGAGTCTTACTGGTTTTAAGGTATTTTTGTACAATCTAGATACCGATTCTGTGTTAGAACAATGTATTATAAATACTCAGGGTCTGTGGCTGGCCAGCCATTTCGGTCTTAATGATTGCTTCCATAATCTTAAATTCTAGGAGTTTGGTTGATTGGTTTTGTTTTTCTTTTGGTTTTCCATGGTAGGGTTTCTCTTTGTAGTTCTGTTTTCGAACTCATTCTGTAGACCAGACTGTCCTCAAACTCAGACATCTGCCTGCCTCTGCTTCCCTAGTGCTGGGATTAAAGGTGTGTGCCACCACTGCCCAGTCCCTTTTCTTTTTTGAGATGAGGTCTCACTACGTAGCTCTGGCTACCCTGGAACTCTCTGTAGACCATGCTGGTCTCGAACTCACAGATACCCACTTATCTCTGCCTCCCCAGTGCTGGGATTAAAGGCGTGCACTATATATATCCTGGCTGGCCTGGAACTCACTATGTATGTCAGATTGGCTTTGAACTCACATAAATCCACCTGCCTCTGCGTCTCCAGTACTGGGATTAAATAATGAAATCACAACTACCCAATCAGTGAATTTCTATTTGTAATGAGACCTACTCGCCTGGCAGTGGTGGCACACACCTTTAATTCCAGCACTCGGGAGGCAGAGAAATGATCTTTTCATATATCATGAGAGCCCTTGTATCTTAAAGACTCTACCCACCTTCCTTCCAGAAGGGCACACCCTTTTGTTTCTCTTTTCTTTTAGAAGCTTTGCCACTTCACTTTGTACATCGCAGATCCGCCAGCTAAGGGGATTGAGGAGGACAAGGCTTGGAACTCTCAGCCCAAGTTTGACTATTCAGTGACTCAGCCAGGTGTAGGTCTTCTTTGGGGCTTTCCGTTCTGCTCTCCTGGTCTTTCTGCTCATCCTTTTTCTGTGCCACTGCTGTAAGTCCAGAGGCTTTATAATGAAGTGCTCTGAACTTGTCCTTCAAGGTTGCTTAGGTTCTCTGGGACATTTGCACTGCTGGGGAAATTTTAGGACCTGATTAGCTTATATACACGTATATCTCCTGCTGGGGCTGTAGTTGTTGTCTATGTTCAATTTATGGGTCAGTTTGAGGGTGAATTAACATCCTAATATTAAATGTTCTGGAACAGAACATTTAGTTATTTCATTCTTCTGAGCACCGGTGTATGGTTTCCACTGGACAAGTGCACAGTGTGTCTTTTGCTAGATTTACTCCTATACACTGGGGTCTTTTAAATGCAGCCATAGATGACGTGTTAATTTCATTTTCTTTTGTGAATGTACATGTGTGTACATGCACACCTTCATGTGTGCGTGCATTGTGTGGAAGTCGATGTCTGTCATGGAACCTAA